TACTGACTGCCAGCTCAGAGCCTGGAGCCTGTTTCGGTCTGTGACTCCCTCTCTCTCTGACAATCCCCTGCTCACGCTGTCTCTCTCTCTCTCCTAGAAATAAATAAAACATTAAAAAAAAAGTTAAAAAAAAAGAAACTAGTAAAGAAGAGCAAATGAAACCCAAAGCAAGCGGAAGGAAGGAAATAATAAACATAAGAGCAGAAATCATAAGAGATTGAGAAGAGGAAAAATAATACAGAAAATCAGTGAAACTTAAAAGCTGTTTCTTTGAAAAGATAAATGAAATGAATCTATAATCAGATTAAGAAAATGTAGAAAAGATACACGTTATAAATGACAGGAATAAAAGAGGGGGCATAATTGCATTCCCTACAGACATTAAAAGAATAATAGAGGGGTGCCTGGGTGACTCCGTCGGTTAAACATCCGACTTGAGCTCAGGTCATGATCTCGCAGTTTGTGAGTTCAATCTTCGCATTGGGCTCTCTGCTGACAGCTCAGAGCCTGGAGCCTGCTTCAGTTTCTGTGTCTCTTCCTCACTATGCCCCTCCCGCGTTCATGCTCTGTCTCTGTCTCTCAATAATAAATAAGCATTAAAAAAAAAAAAGAATAATAGAACATCATAAACAACTCGGTAAACAATTTCAACAGTTTAAAGGCTGTGGACAGCTTCCTTAAAGAAGTAGTACCACCAAAGCTCCCTCCAGAACATAATAGCGTAAACAATCTTAGATCTTTTGAAGAAGTTCAATTCATATTTAAAAGCTTCCAGCAAAGACAACTCATGGCCCACATTAGCTTCATTGGTGAATTCTACCAAAGATCTAAGGACTCTACAAAAATGTGGAGAAGACATTTTCCAGCTCGTTTTATGAGGCCATCCTTACTTTGCAACTAAACAAAAATAATACAGGAAGAGAAACTAACAAGACTTCACAAGAACTTAGATGCAAAATTCCTCAAGAAAATATTAGCAAATTAAATCCAGCGGTATATTAAGATAATGTCTCACGGCCAACTATGGTCATTTTGGGAATTCAAGCCTCATTCGTCTTTCAGAAATTAGTCAGTGTGGGGCGCCTGGGTGGCCCAGGCAGTTAAGTGTCCGACTCTGGATTTTGGCTCCGGTCAAGATACCAGGGTCGTGGGATTGAGCCCCACATTGGGCTCTGTGCTAAGTGTGGAGCTTGCTTGAGATTCTATCTCCTCTCCTCCCCGCCCCTCCCCTCCCCCACTCATGTGTGCTGCTCTTGCATGCGCTCTCAAAAACAATCAATCAGTGATAATAACCAAATGCAGACGAAACGATAGAACAGTAGGGACTCTTATTTGTGGCTGGTGGGGACACAAGACGGCACAGCATCTGCAGAAGACCACTGGACAGTTTCTCACAAAACTAAGTATAATCCAGCAATTATATTCCTTGGTATTTACCCAAAGGAGTTGAAAACATGTTCACACACAGACCTGCACACGGATGTTATGGCAGCTTCATCCACACTTGGCAAAACTTGGAAGTAACCAAGATGTTCTTCAGTATGTGAGTGCATAAATCAATCGCAGTATAACCAGACAGGTAGTACCCGCTGCTGAAAAGAATGAGCTGTCAAGCCTCGAAAAGACATGAGAGAGCCTTCAGTGGTACTAAGTGAAGGAAGCCAAGGCAAAGGTACACACTGTATGGTTCCAGCCATGTGACCTTCGGGAAAAGGCAGAACTGTGGAGACCGTGAACATAGCAGGTATTGGTGGTGGGGAGATAGATGGGCAGAGTGCAGAGGACTCCTGGGGCAGTGATGGTAGTGTGATGCCGTAATGATGCATGTGTGTCATTGTATAGTTGTGCGAGTCCCTGGAATGTACAACACCAAGAATGAACTGTGATGGTGAACCATAGACCTGGGGTGACTGGTGTGTCAGCGTAGGTTCAGTGATTGAAAGGGACATTCCACGCTGCGGGAAGGGTTGCTGATAGGGCGGGGCAGAGGGTGCTTGGACAGTCTCTGTACCTTCCCCTCCACTTTGCTGTGAACTTAAGACTGCTCTGTGAAAATAAAGCCGTAATAAAAGATGGATCAGTGATATTAACAAATTAAAGAAGAAAAACCATGTGGTCATTTCAATAAATTCCTTTATGATAAAAATCTCTCAGTAAATTAGGAATAGAAAGGACCTTGGAAACTGATAAGGCTCCCTTAAAAAAAATCTATAGCTGATACCATTCTTAATGGTCAGAGACAGAAATGTTACCCCCCTAAAATCAAGGAAGATGGTGAGGATATTCATTACCAGTCCTGTTCAGCCTCATGCTGGAGTCCCAGCCAGTACAGGAAGGCTGGGAAGAAAGAAGGGGCATCCAGACTAGAAGGGAAGGTGTAAATTGAATCAGTGTGCTAATGTCAGGATGGTCCTCATAGAGAATACTAAAGAATATTTAAAAAAAAAACACCAAACCTCTTAGAACTAACAAGTAAATTTAACATGATTGCATGACATCAGGTCAATATTAAGAAATTAGTTGGATTTCTTTATAATAGCAATAAACAACTATTTGGGATTTGGAATTTTTATGAAATACCATTTACATAGAAAAAAGAAAGTACTTAGATGTGTGTCTGTTTATAAAATGGGTGCTAGGTTTAATGCTGAAAACCATTCCATATTGATGAAATCAAAGACCACCTAAATAAATTGAGAGAGATACTGTATTCATGGATTACAAAATCCAGTATTGTTGAAAGGTCAGTTCCCCCCAGACTGATCTGATCTGGGGTGTCTGTGTAATTCCAGTCAAAATCGAAGCAGGAGTGTTTGTAGAAAACAGCAAGTGATCTCAGAGTCATGGGTTGGAGCCCCACTTTGGCCTCCATGCTGAGTGTGGAGCCTTCTTAGAAAATAAGAAGGCAGGCCACATGCTGTCAGAGAATATTGACAAATCATGTGACTGAGAAGGGACTGTATCCAGCTATGTAAAGAACACTCATAACTTTAATAATAATAAAAACAATCCAGTTTTTTAAGATCAAAATATTTGAACACTTAATAAAATATATTTGTGTAGCAAATAAATATAAAGCCCATCATCTGTCATTACTGAAATTCAAGTTAAACCACATTGAACTACCATTACATACCTTTTGAACAAATTATATTTGTTTCCTGTGGCTGGTATAACAAACTGTTGTAACAAAGCCAGAAACTGGGGCTTAAAACAGCAGAAATTACTCAGTCACAGTGAATGCTGGAAGTCCAAGTTCAAGGTGTCAGCAGTGCTGCACTGCGTTCCAGGGTCAGTAGCAGAGACTCATTCTTAGCCTCTTCCAGCTTCTAGTGGCTTTTGGCATTTTTGGGCTTATAGTCACCTGTCTCCTTTATCGTCACATCCCCTTCTCTGCTGTGCCATTGTGTCTCTTTAAAAAAAAAATTTTTTTTTAACATTTATTTTTTGAGAGAGAGAGAGACCGCGTGAGCAGGGGAGGGGCAGAGAGAAGGAGGCACAGACTCTGAAACAGGCTCCAGGCTCTGAACTGTCAGCACAGAGCCCGATGGGGGCCCCAGCCTCACAAACCGTGAGATCATGACTGGAGCCGAAGTTGGACACTCAACCAGCTGAGCCACCCAGGTGCCCCATTGTGTCTCCTTTATAAGGACACCCAGGATGTCATTTAGGGGCCACCTGGATAATCTGATCTTCTCTCAAATCCTTAATTAATTACATCTTCAGATAAGGTAACGTTCATAGCCCCTGGGGAATAGGGTGTAGACTTATCTTTTTGGGGGGGGGGACGCTGTTCAGCCCCCTATACCGCTAAGCCAGACCACAAAATACACAGTACTCCGTGCTTATGACCATGGAGGGCACCTGGAGGTCTCAGATGTTACCCTTGTGTGCAGAGTCCTACAACCGGTTTCTAAAAATGTCTGGCAGTTGTCACAGAGTTAAACTGACGTTTATTGTGCCATCCCGCAATGTCTCAGATATTTACCCAAGTAAAAAGAAAACTGTGTCATACAAAATTGTGAGTGTTTTTGTCACCTTTATTCATAATCACCCAAAATTGTGAACAGGCCAGCGTGTCCTCAGACTGGTAAATGGCTAAATGCTGTTACAGCAGCTGAGCCAGAAGTCGCGGACACATGTGGAAGGCTTTCAGGTGCTAGTTTACTCATTGAGGCTGCCTTCAGATGCTAGGTGTGCGCCAGGCGGCATCCCCAGCCCCTGGCACCAGCCTGACCCCACAGCAGTCCTGAGAGATGCCGGGTAGGCTCCTGGTGCCCAGAGTAGCACGTATGACTGGGGAGTGGGGGGCCAGGGCTGGGGCTCCGCAGCTGCACTGTTGGCCACTAGTTTGCACTGGTGTCCAGCTGACACACCACTTTTGGGTCTGTGTTGTCATTTGAGCTGCATGCCCACATGTTTAGGCCCTTCCCTCCCGATGTCCTTTCTCCTCCCACCTGGAGACCGCTTTTCCCGTGTGCTCACTAACACCAATTGGGATTTATGTGCCTCATTCTCCTCGCAACCCTTTTCCTGTAAGGAATAGATGATAACGAGTACAGATTGAGCTTCACGCACAAGAGTAATTTATGCTTTTTAAGTATCCAACAACATTGGTTACCCAAGAAAACCTGCAGCGGTGCAGACACAGGCCTGTTTATTAGCAGTATCCCCAACGGCACACGGTATGGGAGGCCCTGTAATTCTCCTTTCGTTGCCCCAGTTTTCTGGTGGGGACCAGCTATCAGGGTTGTAGGTATAAGGAGCTAGGAGGTGTGGGGCACGGGAGGAAATCGCATGTGATCTCTCCTGACGCTATAGGGCTTCCCATCACGTTGCTGCTCCCCAGTGAGGTTTTATTGCACCTTCTTCCCATCCTTCCAGAAATGTTGATAGAATCGTATTTACATAGCTGTCATGTATCTACCTACATACTGATAGGGAGCACCTTGACTGATTTGTTTTGAAATCATAATAAAATTACCTTGCTTTGTTTCAAGATTTGAAGGCCATATAGAGATCTGCCCACCAGGCATGAGTCATTCAGCTTGTTCGGTCAACAAGAGTGTTCTAGAAGCTATCCGAGGAAGACTTGGATCTTTTCACGAACTTCTGCTTGAGCCACCCAAGGTAGGGCAGCTGTCTTAAGCGTGCTGGCCAGGCCAGTGACTTGCTGTAAATAGTTGTTGGAAAGTATATGAAGCTTCTGGAAAGTGGAACGGGCTGCGACCTGCACATCCCAGCTAGCCTTCCTGGTTGTCTGCACTGCTTTTAAGCGAGGTTTTAGTTGGCTTTTCTCTATATGTATTGCCTACACTGCTGGAATCAAGATTAAGCAGAATATTTACCTACTTAGGAAACTCAGCGTTTAGTGGCTTTTTTTTTTCTTTCTATAAATTCTGGGCCCTTTTATGCCAGATAGTCCTCATGGCATGTCATTTTCACAGCTTTCAGGTAAAGTTAATCTTTTAGGAACTGATGTTTGAGACCGAGGTGCCTGAATCCGAGTTGGGAGTGGTGTATCAGTCTGATGAGTAGATGTCTTACTTAAGAAGTAAGTAAGTCACACTCGCCATGGTGTGACTCGGAGAGCTCACTTTCCCAATGGGGCCTCCGCGCACTAAGCCAGCAGGGACTCAGGCAGCCCGCTGACACATGAGTGACACAGAGTGAGGCCCCCTAGAAGGGAGCCGCCTGCGGGCCGCGAGTGCTGTTCCTTCCGCAGCAGAGACCAGGTGCAAGTAAGAGGCTCTTCCTTTGGGAATCTCTCTGGGAGACGCAGGTCCATGAGGTCCCCTGCCTGCCCGGTGCTTACGCTTTCCTGTTTCCTTCCTCCCTGTGTCATCGCACCCAGTGGCCTAGGCGTTGTGTGGGTCTTGTGGCCTCTACCATGCCAGAGGCCCTGGGAACCCTACGGTGCTAGTTTCTCCCTTCTACGTTAGGTGCTTGCTGTGTATTTCAGCGTTTTGTGGAAGGGAACGTGATCGTTCGCGTCCATGACGCGGGGAGTCTAGTTCAGCCTCCAGACGGTTTCCTTAGACGGCTGACGCCACCGGTTAGCAGTCTTGGGCCCTGCCCGCGTCATGTTGTCTTACCTGTTGGGCCAGTGCTCAGCCCATGCTTACCCGTCGCGGTTGGCGGCGCCCTTCATTGCGCCTCGGGGAAGAAATAGGAGAGTCAGGGAAGGAAAAGAAAGGGTTGAAGGAGTAGGTGAAGCGGAGACACTGTCCCAGGTGGGAGTGGGGGAGCTGGGCGGGAGGGGGACGTGTGAGGCAGTGCCCCTGCGCACGTCTTTGCCAGCCCTCCCATGTCCTCTCTGCTTCCTCTCTGCTTGGACAGGAAGGCAGAGTGTTGCGTGGATCCTCACACTCTGCTCTCGCTTGGCCTTCCGCTCTTTCACTGCCAGGGCTCCAGGAGGTCGGATCACACGCAGTTTTGCTAGAGGATGCGGCGCGAGTAGGTCCCGAAGTGTTTTAACGCGCCCATCACTTAGAGCTGCCTCCCCTGGGGAGAGGCTGGAGAGGAGCAGGGGGGCGGGGAAAGGGCGGCCTCGCTGGCTGCCGGCTGAGCATTCGCCACCCTTGGCCCTGGGACTCGTGCAAGTCCGCAGTGTCCTGAGTGTCTCGTGTGATTCAAAGTGTGGAGACTCCCTTTTATGGGCACGTACAGGTTCGAAGTTGATCCTCTTCCAGGTTGTGACCCAGAGACTGCTTTTGAGTTTGCGTTATTCTCAGTTTGCAGAGATCGGGGATTGTGTTCCAGAACCGCTTGGCACGTGTCTTAGGGTCAAGGTTTCCGGCCAGGTTTGGCGTATCATGCTTTTGTCCCCTTGAGTGTCTGTAGCTTTCTGCGTTCTTCCTGTGGCACTTTTGCTTGTCAAAGCAGGGGGGCACTCCATTTCTTAAAAAATGTGTAGCCCAGGGAAGTGACTTGATCTTTCCCCCTCTCGGTTATTCCAACGTGTCTCCACAATCTCAGAAGCAGCTTTGAATTTTCTGTCAGATGGAGAATTCGGGCCCCAGTATCCGCAGGGGGAGCTTACAAGGTGTTCTGCGTTGGCACACACCCCTCCACCCTTTTGCTTGTTTACTGAACTGGATTTAATTGGAAAGCTTTTTCTTCCTCAGAAAAGCGTGATGAAGACTACGTGGGGTGTGCTGGACCCTCCCGTGGGGAACACCCGGTTGAATGTGATTAGGTTGATATCCAGCCTCCTTCAGACAAATACCAGCAGTATCAATGGGGACCTTATGGAGCTGAATAGCATTGGGGTCATATTGGTAAGATTTCCCCCAAAAGATCGTTTAATTTGCCCTTGATGATCTGTAGATCTGCAACTCGCCAGGTTACAAACCTCACGAATTTCCAGTCTGTCATGACTTGTCCTGTTCTGAGCACACGTGGTCTTTCATATAGTTTTGCCTTGAGTTTATCATCAATTTTGAATGCTTGTACGTTTTCAGTATTTACGATTGCTGTGTGTAAAGTATATTAGAAGATTTCAAAGACGATTGGGACCGACTTTTCCCTCAAGAATCTCAGTCTGGCACAGCTGGTTGAGGGGGATCACGTGAGCAAGAAGTGACTGCTGGTTACAGCACCGTGTTCTGCTCATAATTAGCAAGGGGACACGTGTTTGTCTTCTCTCCGCTGAGATAGATCCGTAGAACGGGTCTATATGGAGTCTTTTGAGTTGAGTCTAGATTCTCCCTTGATACAACTATTAATTATTCTGTTGTTGGTGGACAGGGAAAGGGAGAGCCCAGGAATTATCTGGACTCCCCTGACCCTCAAGTTGCCCAGCTCCAACGTTTGTGCTTAGAATCCACCTGCCCAGCTCTGAACCCCATGCCTGCTTTGTCCGTCCTGCTCGCCCCCCTCCCACTCCCACTCCACCACACACACACACACACACACACACAGTGCAGAAGGCATGGAATTAACGCCTAGCGGGTTTCCTGAGCCATCCAGCTCCTCAAGGGGAAGTTTGGGCTCTTTGCACACTGCACAGAAGGTGGGGTCATGTCCACTTCCATCCATGTCTCATGTCATACTGGGTATAAATGCCTGTGTGAGAGGGAGGGTCTGTTTTTCAGATTGTGCCCAGAGAGGGGACACATTCTATGGCCAGTAAGTGGTGGAACCAAGATTCAAATTCACATCCAGATTCAGACCGATGAGTGCTCTGTCAGCCACCCCGTTACACCACCTGGTGTCACGGAGATATTTTTAGCTATGTTTCAGCTTTGGGTTAAGTGCCGGCAGTGTAGGGATAGAGAGCAGGGGCATGTTGGAGCGAGATGACCCGTTACAGGATTACAGTCTCTCCGGTGAAGTAGTAACCGTTGCCATCTGGGGACAGTTGGCCCTGACCTCTGGCTAGTGTGTAAAAGGATAGCGGTAGAACTTGTACCCCTGTCCCTGAAGTCATCAGTTGCTAGCCGTTTACTATATAGTAAGTACACAGCTATTGTTAATCTGACAACAAATTTTATAAAACTCCTAAATGGGTCATTAATCACTACCTGATTTTGAGTTAAGGTAATCAGACTCAAAGAATGTCCTGAATATACATATACTTGATGCATTTTGTGTTTTTCGAAATGCTCTTTCCTTTTTGTGATACTCTCAACTTTTCGGGCAGTCTGGATCCCGTGTACTTTCTGGAGGTCCGCATGTCCCTCGCTGACCCCCAGGCCTCTCTTGTTTTACTCCACTCACCACTAGTTCCATGAGTTTCAAATGCCTGAGTGGTGACTCTTGGTTAAGGTGTGAGTGCCCTGCAACTGGAGACTGTCTTTTTATCCTGGTCTTCTGTATGGCATCTAGCACTTTGCACCACACAGAGGCCATCAGTTAAAGGTTTGAGTCAAAGTTAAATTCTCAAAAATTTCTTTGAAAATTATTGGACACTTTCTGCACATAATGCCTGTATTCATTGCCTTGAAAATGTAAAAAGGTTTTCTCTTTCAGAAACTTAGGGTTGTCTCCCTGTGTGCATTGTTGTTTTCTACCAGATTCCGTGCGGTTGCTGGCATGTTCAGTGTGCAGGTATCATGCTATTCAGTCTGCACAGTGGCATTTCGAACACCCTTTAACGTAAACTTGTTTTCCTTTTAAGGAGTCCTGTTGAACTAAGAACATATCATTTTCACTTTATTAAATCACTCTTTGGGGAGCGTAGAGGAGGGGCTTTAAACATTGCAGCCGAATAAAAGCGAGCATTGTTTTCTCTTGGTTGTAGGACATGTTCTTTAAGTACACGTGGAACAACTTTTTACACACACAAGTGGAGATCTGCGTTGCACTGATTCTCGCAAGTCCTTTTGAAAACACAGAAACCAGCACCGTCACAGAGCAGGATGCCACGGGTGACAGTTTGCTGCTGAAACATGTAAGCTTCCCAGGTCTCTGTTCTGCTGCCCCTGATGATAGCAGCCTCCCTGATAAGTGTGAGGTGAATCGCTCTAATGGCAGGGGGTTAAGGTCAGAGTCCAGATATTTAACTCTCTTGTTTTCATCACCCTGTTAGGCAGTGAGTCTGTGAATCAAATCCTGGACCAAAAATCATTAGACAAACTCTTAAGAAAAAGTCTAAGTGGCCTTATTATTTGGTACAGACAATCAGGTTGGGGATTTAGAAATCCTTTGGAGAGCAAAAGAACCATAAAAACTTAAAGTCTGCAGATAGCATTTGACCAGTTGTTTTGGCTTGCCAGTTTTAATATTTTTAATTTGTTTTGAGAGCGGGAGAGAGAGTGTGCAAGCAGGGTAAGGGCAGAGAGAGTGGAGAGGGAGAGAATCCCAGGCAGGCTCCACGCTGCCACAGAGCCTGACTCGGGGCTCGAACTCTTGAACCGCAAGATCATGACCTGAGCCAAAATCAGAAGTCAACAGACTGAGCCACACAGGTGCCCCGGCTTGCCAGTTTTAACACATGGGTGAAGGTGGGCAGAAGTGGGCCATGTGCAGTATTGAGTGAAATGTTCCGTGGGTCTGTTTCCTTTTGTTAACTGTGAGGTGATTTTACAAAGTTGGTCTGCAGATCTCTTCTCCCTCTGAAGGTCTGTGGTGGCACGAAACTTCCTAGCTCACGCGGGGCTCCTCGCAAACCAGGGAGGTGGGACAAGCTGGCGTAACCAAGTAGAAGGGGCAGAAGGGCAAGACGGTGACACTGGGTGAAACCACGTCGCACAACTCGACAGCGAAGGCAGCGTGTGTGGCAGTGCTGCTGCCTGTGCTTCCAAAGCACAGCGGGCGCCGCGGGGCCGGGACAGCTCTGCCAACGCGCAGCCTGCCTTCTCCTTATGAATGTCTTAGCCAGTTTTCATGACTTAAGAAAGCCTGGCTTTGCTTCGGGTCAGGGACTCGGTGGCAGCGGCACCTGCAGTGTCATCGTTTCCCAGCAGATACGCTGCAGAAGGCGTGGCCGCTGTCGCCGTCGTGTCCTGGGGGCCATGTGGGACTTTGTTAGCACATTGCAGATGAGGTAGCCGGTGGCTCACAGCCAGGGTTAGCTTGCTGGGTGATGACAGGCCACTGCCCTATGTGAGCAGAGCTCTATTTTGTTTTAAAACTTTGACGCCTTGACGTTATTTATATAAATGTTAACTGGAATATTCTTTTCTATTCAGCTTTTTCAAAAGTGTCAGTTAATAGAACGAATACTTGATGCCTGGGAAATGAATGAGAAGAAACAGTAAGTAAACTGTTTTCTGATAGGAATTCTGTGTGATTTTTAACTTGAAGAAAATACCCTCCCTTGCCTTAGAGAACAGTGAGAATAACCGTGCTACAGACCACTTTACAGTTACAGTGGTTCTCTCTGGGTTGTTTAATCATAGCCATGTATTTTTAGATCCCCCTGTCTTTCTAGCTCTCTTGAGGGGAACCCAGGGGTTGGCTGCCTTTGAAACTTCCTGGGCCTTTGTGAAGAGCTGTTTCTCTGACAGTATGTGGAGTGGAAAGAAAAAGAGTCATAGAGTCAAGCCCCCCCCCCCCCCCCCGATGATGCTTTAAGTTCAGGTTCCTCTGGGTTCTCACGTGGAGAAGAGTCACTTCCTAACCGAAGGGGGGACGGCGACTGCCCTAGTATTTTGTGTTTCAAAAATTGCCATTAGCTGATGGGCACGCTTACTCGAAGTGGTAGTTGACACACGTGAGTAGCTTTGCCACGCACACTTTTGTCTCCCTCGGCTCCAGGGGCTTTGACGCCGTCTCAGAGTCTGAGGCAGGTGGCAGGGTGTGCTTGGAAAACAGTCTCAGGGCACACTTCTTGCATTTGTTTAAAAAATTTTTTTTTTTTTAAAATATTTATTCATTTTTGAGAGAGCACAAACAGGGGAGGAGTGGAAAGAGAGGGAGACACAGAATCTGAAGCAGCTCCAGGCTCTGAGCTGTCAACACAGAGCCCGACGCGGGGCTCGAACTCACAGACTGTGAGATCATGACCCGAGCTGAAATCAGACACTTAACCAACTGAGCCCCCAGGTGCCCCTCTTGCATTTGCTTTTCAGTCAGGCATATCGAGGTATAATTCTCGTGAAAGTCTGCCCTCTTTTGGTGTGCACGTCTCGGGCTCTGACGAACGCATGCAGCTGCATGAGCCCCGCAGTCCAGGCGCAGGGCATTCCCATCGGCCCCTGTGCCTTCGTACTTGAGCCTGTGCTGGGAGGGTTCCTGCTCTGTGTCTCTGTTCAGACCCTCTCGTGGCCCCTGGGAGAGCTAGGAACTAGAGGGAGGCATCAGTTTTATTCTGTAAGGTTTGTAAGTGTCACAAGTGCCCACTGGCACTGATGGGGCTGTGACCGGACTCTGGAAAATGCGCGTGGGGTCTGCGGCTCATGTCAGTGGGCCTCAAGCGCGTCCTGCCTCATGCGGCTGCCTTGGGCGGGCTGTGTCTGGCCAGCTCAGCTCTCTGCTCGTGTTTTGGGCCCCACGTTAGCCCCTTTGTGCCCTCCTCCACCTCCCTGTTCTCTGCCTCCCCTCGCCTGTGCTGAGGTGGCTCAGGTGCTCCATTTCCCCGGAGCTCCACCCTCCAGAGGCTTGACTGCTAAGGGTCCCCCTTCCTTGGGGGTTCCTGAACAAGTTTTTCTAGCACTTCCTTGCCCCAGAAGCCGGAAGAACATCAGGAGCCTTGGAACAAAACATGGGCATGTGGGCATTTGTGCTCCCTTGGGAGCTCGTGGGAGCGCCGTACCGTATCTGACCAAGAAGTGCCTGTGAGGAGCACCCGGGGCCGGGGGTCTTACCGTGCGGCACGGAGAGGCTCTTAGCTACTCAGCTGAGATCAACTCTGAGTCTTCTGACCCTTAGCTGTCCCCAGACCCTTAAAGATTCTTGGCAGATGCTCTGGTTTTCAGGAAAGCCTTCAAGCATGGTATGGCTTTTGTAGCGGCCCTCGAATGATGCTCCCTTTAAGCAAAAATCTATGTCCCAACCCTTTATAAATAGGCAGAGAAATCACAGCGATGTGGAGGGTAGCTCAGTGCACGGATTTGGTAAAGATGGGTCCTGCTTAGGAAGGGTAGGCCCTCAGTGGGGGAGAGCAACGGGGAGTCATTTCTGTATCCAGGTTCTAGGTGTGGAGCGGGCCCAAGACTGGCCGAGAGCCCCTCGTCTCAGCCAGATCCTTAAAATCGGCCACTCTTTTAACCTGAGAAATGCCGTTGGAAGACGGCTGTGTCTGTTAGCAGACGGGAGGGGGTTTGATGTCTCTTAGCAAGATGAACCAGCAGGGTTGGCGCCTGAGGTGCCTGCAGTCTTTTTAAAATCTGAAAAATACCTTCCCAGAAAGATGCAAAGCCAAGTCACAGAAATACCAGGTGTCAGTGAGTGTTTGGGCTTTTTTTTTTTTTTTTTAGGTTATTGAAGGTCAGTGATTGGTTTGTATATTGAACGGACCTTGCTGAGTGTGGCCACCACGATATCCTTGGGCAGACCGCGTCTGCCACCCCTACCCCAGCCTGGCCTGGCGACTGTCCGTCCCCAGCTTCAGGGTCTCAGTGTTTAGAACGATCACTCCACCCCACTGTGCTTCCCAGGCTGCCTCACGGCTCCCTCTGGTCACGAGTCTGAGGGTTTGTCCTCTCCCCCCGTCAGGGCCGAGGGCGGCAGACGGCACGGCTACATGGGACACCTGACCAGGATAGCTAACTGTATCGTGCACAGCACTGACAAGGGCCCCAGCAGTGCGGTGGTGCGGCAGCTCATCAAAGGTAAGTGGCTTCTGGAATAATACTTCGGTTGGATTGGAGGAAGGATTGAAGGGTAAATTGAGTGGAAACGTTCATAACGTTTTTAATAGTGGTCTGTGGAGTTCCTTTATATTTTGCCAGTTACCTGGAGATCTGAATGAAGTTCTCGAGACCGTGTGTGAACAGTGTAGTTCTTTGCTGGGTGTCTTTCCTGATTTCTTCAATCCTTTGAGGAAGTACCAGCAGCTCAGCCCAGGCACCCCCTCTCGCTCTCAAGGAGCCTGCCCGCTGCATCGTTCCACTGAGCCTGCTGCCCCACACGCTGGCCACTGGGTCGCTTGAGCTGGGGTCACTCTGGCTTGTTATTTTCTTCTAAAGGCCACTGTATAGCCTTTGGACAGAGGTCCTTCAGCCGGGGCATTACAGCATTTATCCACGTGGTCTCCGTGGATATCCCTCTCTTCCTAAGACGAGGGATAGGGGACCCTCAGAGATGCTCTCTGTGCCAGCATTTACATTGAATCAGGCCACGGTTACCGGCAAGAAGCACAGGTGCATTTTACACTGGTGCCCAGGCCAGGCATCCGTCCCCGCTCCACCGAGAGCCCAAGAGCTCTGTGGACTTGGGCAGGCCGGTCCTGCGACTTCATCTGAGTGCGAAAACCTCCAACCTCTGTGGTTCTGAATCCATCCGGACTCCACTTGCCGCACTGTTTCCCGGGTATCCTGTTTGTCTTCTAAGAGTGGCTGTGTGCTTGAGAGGCGGTTCCTTGTCCATCGTGCACTGAAAGAGCTGTTCTAGGTGATGGGGGGGGCACTTGGGGGTTCGCCCCCCCCCCCCGTAATTTTGCTTCCGGACACACAGGTCCAGGCTAGACGGCCCCAGGTCACGTGCTCACCCTGGGGAGTGGCCGTGGGCATGATTATGTCTGGTAGCTCGTCTTTGTTTTCTGGGAGCTGCTCACCACATGTGTGAGGGGCACACTCGTGTGCTGAAACCAGAAGTGTCAGAGGGCAGCTCCAGTCAGGGTTCCTAGATTCTAGCTGTAGCGCCCTCTTCTCGGAAAAAGTATTCCTGTGCCCTTTTCTTTAAAATTCCTCTGGAAGGTGCGGCCTCACAGTCGCGTCTGGGTCGCCATGTTGGCCTGTGGGCACAAGCGTCTAGGAAGCACTGTGTTTGAGGGATTGAGCCGCCGAGCCAGGCCCCGGAGCCATCACCGCGTCTCCTGGGTGTGCGGCAGCCTGTGCTACAGTGTTTCCCAAACTTGAGCCACGTGGAAACGGACGGCTTTTCCTCCCACCGTGAAAGACCCACCGCTCTCTCTGAAGTTTGCTGGGACACGCTTTCTAGATTCTGTGTTCACCAGTTTTGAGACTTGTTAAATTCACGGAGCTGCTCAGCGCCCTTGGCATCAAGCATGGACCATTTGTGGGGTGGCTCTGGTTCCTGAAATTACTGGGGTTCAGGCCACAGGGCCTTATAACTCTTCCTCCAAGAGGCGGGTGCTCAGATGATGGGGCACATCTGCCCTGGACGAACCGAGCCGGCAGTGCCCTCGCTGTGTTTCCTGTTTGTTTGATGCGTCTGTGTCTGTGGCCTCTGGAGTGACCACGCCTCTTTCTTTCTCTCCTCTCAAGGTCTTCCAGACGCGGTCAGGGAGCGATGGGAGGCGTTCTGCGCAAGCTCCTTGGGAGAAACTAACAAGAGGAACACAGTAGATCTAGTAGGTTTCACCGGGTCACGTTGCCGTGACTCCAGTGCTCTCGGCCTTTGCCTCCTTATTCAGAAAGAGATGAAAGATCTTTCGTTTGTCTCGGTAATTTGGGGCCAAGGTTAAGTTCATATTTCTTTACCAGGAAGAGAGGTCAGTGTTCACCATATCCTTGATAACTTGTCTAGTCAGTTCCTAATTCCTGCCTGGGGTTGACCAGAGGGTACAGGCCACTGACCTCTACCTTGTCGCCCCACCCCATTTCCCTCAGTGCCTCAACAGCATCGCTGCTAGCCTGCCTTCTCCTCTGTTGGGTTCGTTGCCTTATGCCTCAGATAACCCGGGGTGGTTAGAAGCCTCAGGATTCCTTAGGATATTTTTTAATATCACTGAGTTGAATTTATCCTCTTTTTAGATGATTCCCGCTGCGGGGAGGGGGACAATTTCGTAGATGACTTTGAAACTAGCAGATTAGTACTATTAGCCAGGGAATAATGGCATTGATAATATTTTTGAAAATTATATTGGACTTTGGAATGTATTCTTTGTTTTTTTAACGCATTGAGATTGAAGGTAAGTATTGCTTTTGGTTTTACAGATAAGGAAAAGCATTTCCTTTCATAAGCACACGCCAGCTGATAATTGAGGTGGTGGCCTTAACTCTACATGGAGGTAGATGTGTCGGGCATTTAATTCTGTGTTTGAAATTCAGCAGCTGAGGTCTGAATTTCTAATATACGCTAACGCCTTGTCTGTGAGGCGGTCAGGTACCTGACATCCTTATCAGTTCACAGCAGAGTTTAGAAACAGGAGAGAAACAGAAGGGCTCCGAGCAGAAGCAGAAGTGACAGCTGCAGAGCAGTCACTAGGTCACCCTGTGTCACACCCCAGAGGGATGTTGCCTTCTGTTTGGTAGAGTGTCTAACAAATTTGGCTATCTCTTTCCAGACCTTTCACAGATTGGTTGGGTAATGGCTTGTTAAGGATGGGTATAATGATAGAATCAGTTGGAGTTGGAAGATTCTGAAGTTAAGAGATGACTCTAAGGGAAGCTATGTGAGGCCATTTAATTAAAACACGTCTGGGGCCTCAGTGCATCATAGCCCAGCAGAGAAACTGCCGGCCGCTTTGACAGCCCTGAGTCCTCACGGAAGAGTTAAGTGGTTTTTGATGGATATACCTCCCGTGGTGGGTTGCTTTCTTCCCCAATCAGATTGGTTAAAGTTCTGGATCATGAGGGTTTTATTGTAGGGTGAAATTGTTCTCTCTCACTGTTAAATTGAACCATTTAATTTAGAAGCCCCACCTCAATTCTTTGTGAAGGTTGCGGGCAGTGTGGTCTCCTTTAAGGGATTTTTGTTATATTTCTTATTTATAAAGGAATATTTAGGAATATCAGTTCTGACTTTGTTTCGGAAACTTCTTTAAAATTTTTCATTCAAAGGGTTGACTTTAAAGGTAGACTTCAAAAATGTCCAGTAAAACTTGTTGTTATCAGCGTTTTTTAAAAATTTTTCTGTCTTTGGCAACTCAAACAGATTTCTCTTGTGAGCAGTTCTGTATAAAGAAAGACTTCTTTGCAATTCAGACAACACTCAGCTGCTCTGCATGGTGCTGTCAGTAACCTGGTCTGTGAATCCATGTAAATGTCCTGTGTATCTGCATTAAGGAGTCTAATCATGCAGTGCAGAATTCATGCAGATATACGTGCAGTGCAGAATTCGTGCAGATATACATGCGGTGCAGAATTCACAAACAGCCCTTTGGGGTCAGACACCTCTGACATCTAGACTTTATAGCTGCATGGAAGGGAAGACTATCCTGGGCCACCTGTCACTAACAGCAGCTCAGTTCTCTCTAGCCAAAAGCGGTGAGGCTTCTAGAGCCCTGTTGATGTTGCTCCTATCCTATGTGACTTAGCCCTGCTCTCCGATTCTGTGGTCTGTGGGGACTTGCGGGCTGAGGTCTCAAGGCTTTTTCGGTTCCTTGAGCTCCACGCACCCAGGACTTAAATGCCATCTCCCTTCAGCCATAAGCCCGTTCAGTAGGGAATTCGGCTTCATAGGGACTCAGGGATACGTAGGTTCCAGGTTTTTAAGAGTGCCTGTGTGTGCTGGGCCCCCAGCGAGACTTCCACTGCGGCCTCTGGGCTCGCCTCGTCTGTGCCCACAACGTGCCCGGGTACATCCTAGGGGGGTTGGGTGCTGTGTTCCAGGGCACATTCTTATAATAAACCCAGCTTGGGAAACGTACTGGGTCTTGCCCTTGCGGAAACGTCCTGTGGAAGGAGTGCCTATGTACCCATGTAATGTAGCACAGAGTCTGAGTCGCGGCATTTCAGAGACGTTCATTCATGAAATAGGCAGTTGAGTGATAGATGGCTTACTCCCTGCCCACTCCCCAGATCGGTAGATAAGATTAGATGCGCTGACTTCGCTGGTTGTATGATGGCTCAGGTGTGCTCACAGGACTTGAGTCCATGTGCAGTGAACTTCGTTCTGTTGCACTGGCCTGTTCGTATTTGCCTACTCCCAGCAAGGATTTGTTGATTAGTGCACCAGACACTTCCCTGTGCTACTGGCCGTGGGCCTGAGGGTCCTGCTTGCTTCTGTAGGAAAAGCTGTGCCAGCCCCAAGGTGACTCCCCCCCCCCCACCCGAGCTCCGTGAAGTACTTTAATCTGTTGACCTCCTCACACCAAAGTGTATGCACAGTAGGCTCATAGGTTGCTTATGTGTTTATGTTGAGAGTTTTGTTTTGAGTGAAATTTGGCATGTTACTTCCAGAGACCTCTCTGTGGGTCTGTTGGTAAAAACTGGTAAAGTCTTAGTAAAGTTCGGTAGCATAGGAGGTATTTGCATGGCCTCTGGAAGGTTGAGATGGCTTCATTCTCTGCCTCCTGTCTCTGGGGGAGAAGGTGTTGTCTCCATTGTTTGGTGCGTATTTCCCGTCACTCGTGAGCTCACTCAGGGAGGTTGTGTATTGGCCTGGAGACCCAGCAGTGTGGGGTGGAACCGCGGTGTGTCTAGCCTGCCCTGGGCATGGGGGGGCCTGGGGGGGTGGGCAGCAGGGCCCTGCGATGACAAGAAGGAAGAGTCTGTGACTTCTACATGTCACCTAGGTGAACATTCCAGTTGTGCTTATGATCTTCTTTAGCACTTAGCAAGCTAGCCGGCCAAGGTGAAGAGAACACTGGCCTTTTCCTCTGACAGCGGTTAATGAAACGAAAATGTTGCTATGAAAGAAGGGAACAATCTCAAAAGCTTTTTTCCACTGAAGCATCAAGACTGTATTTAGAACACATCTGGCATGGTCAGAGTGTTCTTATATGCTGCTGTGTCTTAAAAAATTATCTTTCTCATTCAGTGATGTACTGGTATTCATTAATGTAATAAATATTTGAGCATCTACTGTGTGCCATGCATTGAGCCTATTGCAGTAAACTCGACTGGCAGAAATTCCTGCCTTGATGGAAATGGGCAAATTCTAGGGCAGGGAGCCAGGGGTCTGCTTGGAACAGGTCTGCAAACCTCACTGAGAGGTACGTGGAGGCATGAGGGGGGGCAGAGCCCGTGCAGAAGCTGGCATCCAGAGGGGGAGAACGAGCCGTGACATCCAAGGCCAGCCCTCTACCGCTCTAGTCCACCCAGGCCCTGGTTATAACCTTAGTGAGATGAAAAGCCGTTAGGTAGGGCGTTTTAAAGTGTCGTAATTTGATGTACGTTGTGAAAGAGCACTGTGGCTCTTGAATTGAGAACAGACTGTAGTGGGCAGGCGGCGGCAATTACAGCATTAATCCAGGCGACAGGTGGAGGCGGCCTGCGCTGGAGAGAGCGGATAGGCCTCACGAGAAGCGACGGTCCTTAGGTTGTGTTTCGACGGTGGAGTGAATAGACTTGTGCGGGACAGAAGAAACCAGAAGGCCAGGATTCTAGCTGAGGAAGAAGGAGGTGACGGGTGGCATGTACGGAGATGAAGATGCCTCGGGGGGGCGGGGGGTGCTTGGAGTTTGGGGCGGGCGCTCCGGTGCACACGCCGAGCTGTGTGGTGAATGAGGCAGGACCCCAGGCAGCAGGTCCCCTCCCCGCCGGGGGTGTGCTGCATCTGTCGTCTCTGTAGCTCGTTTTATCGGTAAGGATTTCAGGCCAGCTGTGGTGTGGATAGGATGAGAATCACCACATTTCCCGTACATAAATGCCAAGGTGTGTGTGCATTGTGTTAGTAATAACTTCTTAGAGCTCCTTCTTTGGCGAACAAAATTATTTTAAATAACCTCCCAGAATTGCCTTAAGGAGACAAGTTACAGAGAATATGGAAAAAGGGTCCCAGTGTCTGGCACATAGTCGTTGCTCAACAAAAGCTAATTTCTTTCTCACTTTTTATTAATGAACGATTCATTTTGTAGCAAAGAGTGACACTGTGAATGAGGAAACCTTGTGTGCTGTTTGAACTTGGATAAGACCTGCTAGGGGTAGCCAAGTCTTTTTTTGTTCTCTCTTGTCCAGTTGACCTAGCTTGTCTTTTGCTTGTCTTCTAATTCTGCCCCCTACCATGTGGGTAGCCCCCTAAAACATATTTAATAGGATTCTCGCACTAGCTTGCCGCCCGAGCAGCCCGGGGCTCCTCTGAACCCCCCCACAGTTGAAGGGCCTGAGCGCTCTTGACCACCATGAGTGAGTGGGATTCCGCCTCCCCCTCCTGCATTCTGGCCTCATCCGCACATCTTTCCCCGCTAGCTCCCTGGAGGCATATTCCTTTCATTGATCACAGATTCTGCCTTTGACCTCATCCAGCCAGTTTCAGACTCCCGAGTGTGCACGCGCACCTCTACCCCAGGGAGAATGGGGGGTGGGTTGTTAATCAGAAACCCTAGGCGATTCGCTTGGCTTAGCATCTTCACCAAAGACGGTCTAGGGGAAAAGAGATTGCTTTTATTTGGACGGTGATGTATTCAGTTTCATAGGCCATAGCACATGCAGACCTGTTTGGGGTCTCCTTTGGGTTTCTTGGCCCAGTGTTGGACCATCACGGAGCAAACCAGACCACTTTCTGTAGCTCCGTCCGGGCTCTTAGACACGCGTCAAGGGTTAGCAGGTCACGGCCGCTCACATCTTCCCCTGATGACCGTGCTCTCTGCCAGTTACACTTCCGTGAAAAGTAAAGGGTGAAAAATTCAGGAAATACAGTGTTAGTTACCCTCAGAAATACAGTGCTCATTTTAGAATTTTGCAAACTGTTCATATTTATTAACTGGCTATATAGCAGTCACTGTTACCTCATGCTTAGTCATTTGTATGTTTCCATTTCTAATTGTTAATATGTTTCCCCAATACTGTGTGTCACTTATGAATGAATAAAAACCACTTACCATGAATTGGTGAGCAGTTCATGTTTGTGTTTTTGTTTAATTTGAATTGGTTGTAAGTTTTGAGGGCAAGGGCTACATTTCTAAAGACAGAAGATTTGGGGTCTTTTTATGAGCAGGGTACTGCTTGTTCAGAGTCCCCTCTTGGGTTCATGGACAGTATTCTTCTCAGAGTGGATGGGGACGCTAGAAGTGAAAGTGCTTGTATCTGAACCTGACCTTCGGGGGGGGTGCGGGGGGGGACGAGTAACCCCTGCGTACGGCAGTTTCACTTTCTGAGCTTGGCACATACGAATCACTTGTATACTTCGCCTGAGCTGTTCCTTCCACCAGCCCTTTGTAAACATTTAATTGGAGCTAAGTGTTAAAATCACTTGAATGGAGTAACTATCCTCTTCTCTGCTTTCTGGTGGTTATTAGTAACGAGAAATAGCACAAGTGGGCAGCGGAAGGGCCGGTAACCTGGCCGTCTGGTTGGGTGAAGGGGGCCTTTGGATTATTTGGGTGGGTTTTATAACTTAACTGTTGCTTATTTCTGTTCTTGCTGTTGTTACACCTTGAGAGAAAAACTAAATGTGATTGTTTTTCCATAAAAATTATGCTGATACAAATGTCCAAAACATTTCTCTGTTAAATAGTGTTTTACGTTTTTATGCATATAGGTTACAACCTGCCATATTCATTCATCCAGTGATGATGAAATTGACTTTAAAGAAACGGGTTTCTCACAGGACTCTTCTTTGCAGCAAGTGAGTCACGCCTAAAGCTTTGCTTTTTGTTTTTATTTGAAATGCTTAGTCTAGTTGCCGCCCATGAGTCCCCTTCTGAGGCAGGTCATGCACCAGGATGTGATTTGGGGTTACCTGTTAGCTAGGCAGAACCATTAGAAGTAGGAAGCATCGGGTATGTGCAAGAAGGTGTGTACCGATTATATTCCCAGGGGCTGTTTCCTCCCTGGTCACAACAGTGCCAGGTCGGGTAAGTGCTCAGACCCGAACAAACCGAATGGCTCAGCCAGTGTCCCAGAGAGGCTCGTGCAGCCCCGCGTGCCCGCCGCGTGGTTGCCACATCCCTGCGGTGGAGGCCTGCAGTAACAGGAGTCACACTCTTAATGTCAGCCAGAGTAACTTTAAAAAAAAAAAAAAAAAAAATCTGTGAACTAAATGGCTTAAATGCTTCTAATATCCTTAAGTTCTATTCTGGTGAAAGTTGTAGTTGAATGAATTCGTTGCCACCCTACTCTCCTGCCCCAAGTCCTCCCCAATTGTCAGCTGCTTATACTGTCTGTGGGGGAGGAAATGGTATAGAAATGGTATAAAAATGGCACGCCCGGGCTTACCCCTCACCCAGGGGTGGTTCTTGCAGTCTCACTACCTTGGCCAGCACCAGATGGTGGGGGCTGGCAGTACAGGCCCCTCTTCCAAGTCCCCGTCTCTCCATATGGGCAGATCATGCCAGGACCATGCGTTGGCGTGGACTCGATCCGGTGCGGTGGGGGTGGCAGAGCCCCCTTCCCGCCTGGCACTGGAGGTTTGCTTGGCTTCTTTTTTCTTAATCGTTAAGCCTTGTCTTTTACCAGGGCCAGGATGAAGCCACTCGTGGCTCTGCTGACCCTGGGTTTCGGCCTCCCAGCAGGCTGTCCTGCTCTGGTCAGGGTGGATGCTCAGTCAGGTTCACAGTCACGTTCACAGGACAGGTCTGGAGTGGTTTTTCAGCACTCAGCTGGCATCTCCATCGATTCTTGACACTGCTGCCCTGCAGAAGCCCACCTCCCAGTGTCGGGGGCATGGGCGGCGCACCCATTGGGAGGCTGATGAGCACCAGGGGTCTTCTTTAGAACACAGTAGCCCCTCACTGCCACCTGCAAGCCATGGCTTGGGTGCTCACCTGGCTCGCTGTGAGCCCTCATGCCCACATGCCCTTCTTCCTTGACCCCAGAGTCCTCTGGTTTGACGGCAGCCTCTCTCTATCTACCCCTATGGAAGCATCTGGAAGGTACTGAAACCGGCCCCTCAGCCTGGCGAGATCTCCCACACTACACGTCTTTCACCCCTGCGGGGAAGCTCCGCGGTGTAAAGTGTAAATTATCAGGGTGCTTCTGAACCTGTTGGAATTGCTTTAAGAAGAATGCCCTAAACACCTATTTGCAGATGAGATAATAACCTTGGAACTTTAGGCGACTGACTTAATCCAAGAGTGGTTCCATTGAGGTATCTGGAAAGTAGGCCCCCTTCTCATGCAGTCTGCTCCACAGCTGTTCTGAGGAGAACATTTTCTGACATTTTTTTGGTTTGACCAACTGCTGATGTGCACGTGAGGCCGTCCAGCTACGAAACTGCCTTCCCAGCAAAGCTCGCCACGGCTCCTGGTCCTGTGGCTTTTCCCTCTCAGAGTAGGAAGGATAGTTCTTTACTGCTGGATGTGCCCCAAGTCAATGTTTCTTTGCGTGCTTAAGTTGTAAGTCAGTCGTGGGTCATTTTGAAAATAAGAAATATGTTCCAGACTTTTTTTTTTTAATTTGAGGCCAGGGTAGGTTAATTTAAGAATTTTATGCTGGTCTCCATGGTAGAATACTAGCTTATATATATTAGTTTCAGTTTCTCGTTCACATTTAAAGTTAGGTTTCATGTAGGTATAAAGTCCTGAGTATAGAGAGCTTCAGGCCGTTCATTTAATAAGGTCACTTGACAATGTCACCTGTGAGGCCATGTTTGGCCCAGGGAATGCTTCACAGCTTTTGTGTCTCTACTAGTTGGGTTGTGCCTTCCGGCCCTTCTGATTTCCTCACCTCTAGAGTTCCACTCTTCCTCCTCCGAGTCTGGCAGAGGTGTGGAGCGTGAGGCCCCCTTCTGGTGGCTCCGGAGGCCTGGAGGGCGCCGCCCACTCCCTGCTGCATGCAGGCCTGGGCAGGGTGGGTAGGGGACACCAGGGCTTCCTGTCGCCCTAGCAGCGCCTCCGAGGAGATTCGCTTAAATAAAGCGGTAGACTCACTTCTCTGATGTGAACAGCCCCTGGCTTTGGCCAGGATGACAGTTGTAGGAAGTATGGGGTTTGTATGTGGGGGGTTTTTTTGAATAAATAAGTTTTTAATAATTACACAGCCATCGGGTGCTTCCCAGACTGGGATTTCTCCAAGCCCAAAGCACTTTTTATATAACTTTAAATAGAATATAGTAGCAGTCTTCACGTAGGTGAGTTTAGTACCCTTTGATGGCTTTCTTAGTAAAAATCATATCCAAACCCTGAGGTTCTTTGCTAATTTACATCTTCGTGGAAGCTGTAATATTCTTAGAACTAATGAGGACCAACAAGGTTGGTTGGTTTTCTTTTTCCCCTAAGTTACTGCATCGAAGTCACTTGTGTCTGCGAGTGGCCGTATGTATCTCCCAAGGTACCCGAATGAATAGATAGGGAGACAGACGGGGCAGATCTGGGCGTACATTGTACGTGCATTCACACACACACTTAGAATACACTTAGTGTCTGCGTGCTCTCTCTGAAGCACTTAAAGGAACTCTTTTGGGTTTTATGAACCCCCAAAATTTATAACACAAACTCCAGAGCCACAAAAAAAGGTGGGGAGGAGAACCAAAAAGACTGGGGAGGGACCTTTTCCCTTGTGCGGCCAAATTTCTAATCTGTAAGTCAACTCGGAGCCTGGCCTGGTCCGCTTGCTGGGAAGAATGACGTCATGATTCTGCTCCACATCTTTGAAGGCACCACACATCCCATTTTATCTCAGAAAAGACAGAGATGCTGTTCAGAGGAATCTGTTGCTTTCTTTTGGGTTTAATGACTATCAGTGCTACGGTTCCTAGTCTTCATTCTGTGTCCAAGCTCAGCCCGGCCTTCCAGAACGTGGCCCTGCCCTTCTGCGTTCAACCACACTCCCACGACTCAGCCTCGACTCGGCCTGCCTTACCAGATGTGCTCCCGTGAGGCTGATCCCTACCCCCGTGTCATATAGCATCCTCTCTGAGGACAGGAAATGGGATGGCATGGAAGTGCACGAGTGAGCACAGGGGTGGCGGGAAAGGGGGGTCTCTCCAGCTAGAGAAAAGGGAAGTTTTAGGTTCTCGGCAAACTAGACACCACTTTTTTCAGACCTACGGAAAAAGATGCCTTCCAAAGCCAAATATAAGGTTTATTTTTTAGTCGTCTTCGATTTGGATTATCCATGCCATGATTCCCTGCCAGCAGCCTGAGTAATCAGGAAGGAGCCAAAGAGGCGTTTGTGCAGCAGATGTCTGCGGGGTGGGCTCCGGGCTCGGCTCTGGAGGAGGGCCAGGAGCACTGGGTTTCGTGCGGTGGCAGCTGCGTCCCTCCTGGCGAGCGGCTTCCGGTGTGATGCCCATAGTTCAGCTCCAGGCCACCACTGCTGCCCCGTGCGTGGTGCTCACGTGCCGGAGAGACTTGTCCCCTGCCCAGAGCAGGCCCGCCAGGCCACACACTGCTGCTCGGTCGTCTCCGTGTTCGTGGTTGGGGCGCGAGGAGTGCCACTTGCTTGTCTTCAGCATCCTCGACTCCTGCTTGGGACCGCAGAACACCTTCGCCGAGTCCTCTCCCTCTGCTCAGCCTGCTTGTTGTCCTAAACCTGAATATCCACATGTCTGTCAAGTCCATGTTAACATCCCCCCGTCTCTCACCTGAGGAAACCCAGATGAGCCCCGTGCCCCCTAGAATGTAGGAGACACGATGGGCTTCTCCGGACCTCACAGAGTGATGTCCCGTCAGTGCTAAGACTTGGTCCCCACTCTGAGGCGGGTAGGATAGGAGCTACTTTTAGACTCTTCCTGGCCTCTGAGACTGAAGTCTTTTTTGAAGAGAATGAAGTGTCCCTGAAAGTTGTGTTGTAGGCTGGCAGTTTGTGATTACTGGTTGTGTTCCCCCCTCCCCCCGTGCGGTGTCACTGTAGTGGATCGGAGGGTGGGGAGGGGTGAGGGGAGGGCGGGTGGTCACTACTTCCTGGATCTTAGGTTAAGGTTGGTTGTGTCCAGAGCTGATTAATAATCTTATAATTTCAGAGATTGATACATCTTATAATTTCAGACTGTCAATTGATCACCTCTTCGAACTAGACTTAATCCAGTCCTCCCTCTAAAGATAATTTGCGATAGAGGGCAGAGTGGTCGTTAACATTTCCTACGGTGACATGTGCATTAGAATGACCTGTGGGCCAAACTCCAGACGTGTCCTTTTTTGGGTAAATTGTGTCTGAAATTATTTGATTGTTTTTTTTTTTTAGAAAGACACACCAACTTTTTAAGCCCTAAGCCTTTGTAAATAAGATGGTTTCTGAAGCACAAGTGGGCAGATAGTATGTAGAATGTCATTAGAATCATTATATCACTGTCACTGGCCCTGGGGTTGCCAGGCCTTTTCTGATTATCAGATGCAACAAATGACGTCCAATTTTATTGACCAGTTTGGCTTCAACGATGAGAAGTTTGCAGATCAAGATGACATTGGCAAGTGAGTATATCTTCCTGTCCCCTGTCTCGTGCACTCCTGCCTTTTGTTAGACGCGGGATCCCCCTGCGGTCCCAGCCATTGAGCCCTGAAGCCACCAGAGGGAGGTGGGGATAAGGGCACCCCTCCCCCCGCAGAGAGGGGCACCCCTGCCGCAGCCTCTCAAGGGGGCTTGTTGCCATTTATATATATTGAGCTTTGCTCAGGAGCTCAGGTCACTGCTCTGCCCCGTCCGGCAACTGTGCCAGGCAGCGGCCCCCAGGGTGGTGAGGCCCTGATGTAGTCGGTGGGCGGGACCAACCCGGTGCCTTCCCAGCAGCTCACGCCACGTGTGTCCTCCCCGGCCCACTCAGCGGGACGCAGGGCTGGTGGGGGGAGAGGGCATAAAATCAGGAATACTGGTACCATACCAGATCGCAGAGTAACACGTGTGGGTGATAGTTGGAAATGCGAACAAATGGGCCGGCGTCTGGCCTAGGGAAGGGAGAGGTATTTATTTTCAAGGAAAGCATTTACGAGGAGGCGTTAGAGCTCATTGAGAACAGAGTTTAGTATCAAGTGGCTTCTGTCACGGGTCACTGCCTGATGATGCCTGTCAGTACCCAGCATCTGGGTGGCTCCTTGCTAGCGGTTAGGGGCCCGTGGTTTAGTGATGCAGCCAGCAGGACCATCTTCTGTCACAAGGTGCGGTTTCTAGCACGTGAGAAGCAGAAGACCCCTGCACACTCCAGCCTTTCCGATGGATGTGCTGTGTTAGCACAGTGGATGGAGCCTTCCCTGCAAACAGAGCAAGAGTTCAAGGCTGCCCTAAGCATCAGCCCCCTGAGATGCAAAATGAGCAAGGACTGTCCACGTCCACGTGGTGGTCGTGTCTGTACCGTGGACGCACTCACACCAGGGCCTGCGGACTCCCCACGCGGCATCTCAGCACCTGGCCTGTCTCTGCTCTCAGTAAATGTTCCCAGTTAGGAATCCAGGCCCTTTAAATTTATGTTGGGTGCTTGGAATAACGATGGATTAGAATAGATCTTTAAGAATTATATTTCCTTTAGGGCACCGGGGTGGCTCATTCAGTTAAGGGTCCAACTCTTCAACTCAGATGAGGACTTCACAGTCCTGAGATCGAGCCTCACGTTGGGCTCCACACTGGCCATGGAGCCTGCTTAAGATTCTGCCCCTCTGCCCCTCCCCTGCTCACACTCTTTCTCCAAAATAAATGAGTAAGAATCCTACTTACTCAAAAAATTGTGTTTCACAAGCTCTGAGATCTTTCACCCCTACCTTCCTGCTGGTCATCCCATACCATAGGGTTTTGGGGGTGTCCGTGCTGTGCATGAATTTGGCCGTCCCTGGAGAAGGCTTAGTGTCTGACAGCCCTTGGGGACTTTCTCATGTTTTGACTTGTTTCTTTTTTTCAAATAACCGTTTTCTTGGTTGTGGAAGTATGGCCTGTGGAGCCGCGGCTGTGGCCGTGGACGTTAAAACTCTTATGGGAAGGCTTGCAGGGGTGTTGGTTCCGTCCTATGAGGCTGCACCCCCACCCTTTTGTCTTAGTACCTGGGAAGAGGCATCAGTCAACATAGGAAAGTTTTGCTTTTGTCTTACCTGGGGAGATTTTAATGATAGTGTAAATATTTTAAATTCGGAGAATTTTGTAAATTGTGTTTTGGTCAGTCTGTAAGTAACTATTCCTGTACTTACATTTTGTTTCCAGTGTTTCTTTCGATCGAGTATCAGACATCAACTTTACTCTCAATACAAACGAAAGTGTAAGTATTCGTGTTCCCTTAGTAACAAGGTATAGGAGAGGTAGACGGCAGGGCCTGGGGTCTGCCAGAGCCTGTGTGCAGACACCGTGTGCCCTGGGACCCCCGCGCCCCAGGACACTCGTCTTCGGCTGGTATTACCCCCCTGCCCCCCATGTGACCTGCGTGGTCCCTGTGGGCATGTGAGTTTGCAGCCCTGGCTTAAGATGTGACAGGGCTGATAAAACCGGGTCGCTTGTGATTGCAGTCTAGACATTTAAGCTTCAGAGAGTGCATTTTGACTCGAGCCAGCTGCCTTTTCCTTCGGATGTATGTCACCAGGAGAGAAACTTGGGCTAGATCAGGGCCAGCTTGTCCTCTCCAGGCAGGGCTCCAACCCCCCGGTCAGCACCATCGGCGCATGATGTGGGGTTGGTGTCATGTGAGTGGGCATAGTCTTGATTTTTAGGTTGATTAACACGAGGGACCCCTGGTTTATTCCCTGATGTGACAAGGTAGAAACTCCTGACTGGGCCACTGATGCCCATTGCTGCTTGGCTGGAGCTGTAGAAGCAGAGGAAACGAGAGTTGCTTTCCTACAGGGCAGATCTGGGACTGAGCCCCAGGTGGGGGGGGTGGGGGGCAGGGGGCGGGGCAGGGAAGCTCTTGGCGTTAAGGCGGTGCTTTACCAGGTGACGGAGTCCGGGAAGACCGCACAGGCTTCTGTGGGCTAGTTTTGAATCAAGTCCTTGGGGGAACTTTCTGCTGTTGCACAGAAGCTGACACCAAGCCTTTACGTTTGTTTTTGGCGTGTGTGGTAGTCGCTGTTTTTTTAAGGGAAATGAGGGATGCAATTTACATTGATAGCTTTTGGAGAAAATCACTTGATTTTTAAGTTTGCTCTTTTCGTGCTCTCGTTTTTATTTAGGGAAATATTGCCTTGTTCGAAGCCTGTTGTAAGGAAAGAATCCAGCAGTTTGACGACGGCGGCTCTGATGAGGAAGACATCTGGGAGGAAAAGCACATTACGTTCACACCGGAATCCCAAAGGCGGTCCAGGTGAAGGAGTCTGTTCCGGCGGCCATAATGCCCAGTGCAGACAGTTGGTGGGGGGGGAGGCATGCGTCCTGTCCTTGGCAGATGCACATTCTTGACCTAGAGACCAGTGTTTCTGTCGTGATCAGAAATGCCCTTGTTAACCGATGCAAGGTGGTGCCAGTTCGCCTGTGTCCAGTGTGATGGGCACGAACGAGTCTGGTGATGAACTTGAAACTGCAGGGAGTGTGGAGGCCTAGTCGGGAAGCGCTGTGGCTCCGCCTCTTCTGAACAGAAGGCAGTGCTGAGGAGTGTGGTGCAGGGCACCCTGCACAGATGTCCCCTCACCCCTGACGCCCGCAGCAGCCGACTTCCGTACCATCTCCTCTGAAAAACTGAAGTTTTCCCCAGGGGAGGGAAAAGCTGTTTCTAAAAGTTAGTCTAGCCTGGGGAGATGGGGTCCTGCCGGCCGGGGCCCTTTGGAATCAATCCTGTTGGGTTTTTTCCTGTCTAATTGGTTTCCGTCGCTGTGGCACGAGAACACGGAGTTCTTATCCGAGTGTCCATTACCAGAATCTTCTTAGTTGGGAGAGTAGCAGTTGAACTCTCATTTTTATTTCGCTTATTTTTAATAAGTAACGTGTCGGGGCGCCTGGGTGGCTTACTCGGTTAAGCGTCCGACTTTTGCTTAGGTCATGATCTTGCGGTTCGTGGGTTCGAGCCCCGCGTCGGGCTCTGTGCTGACTGCCAGCTCAGAGCCTGGAGCCTGTTTCAGAGTCTGTGACTCCCTCTCTCTCTGACCCTCCCCTGCTCATGCTATCTCTTTTCTCTCTCCTAGAAATAAATAAAACATTAAAAAAAAAATTAAAAAAAATAATAAGTAACGTGTCCACCTGGTGAACAATTCAAAGAAAACAGAATATACAGTGAAAAGTGCAGCCCCCACCCCCCCAAACCCGGCCCCAGCCCCACTAGCCATTTCTCCCTCTTGCTGGGTACCATGCACCAGCACCCCCTGCCGTGTCTCTGCGCACCCCAGCGGCTGTGTTGTGGGTCTAAGGAGGGCTCACTGCTTTGGGTTACAGAAGACCCACCTGGGGCTTAAACACAGGAAAGGGGTATTTGTCTCATAATCCACAGCTGTCTAGCCTAGCTTCTTTGTCCATGCCCACTTCATCGTCGTCTGCATGCGACTCATTACTTTGTAATCACAAGGTAGCCGCAGCTCCAGGACCAGGAAGCGAGAGACAGATAGCTTCACAGTGATTTTTGTTTTGTTTTGTTTTGTTTTTAGTTTTTAAGATAAAGCCTTAGTTAAACTTGTTTGTCACCGTTTGCTATGAAATTTTGGGCCTCACTTGGAGTGAGTTCACTAAGTGGCCATTGCCTACTATCACAGGCCGACCTCACACGGTACAGCACTTAGGGAATGACGTGTGGTGGTGAAGGTAGTGTCCTGGAGGACGTGACAGTTGATGTCCAGAGGGAACACGGGACAATGAGAAAAGGCAACTTTTTATTATTTAACAGCTCTCTTGAGGTATAATTGACATATAGAAAACTGTATTTATTTAGATTACACAGCGTAGTAAGTTTGGACATGAATACATCCGTGAAACCATCAGCTCAGTCAAGATCATGAACTTCTCCATTATCTACAAAAGTTTCCTCATGCCCTTTCATATTGCCTTCCCCCCATCTGCTTTTTGTTCCTTGAGAGTGATTTGTGTTTTCTAGAGTTTTATGTAAATCAGATAGCACATTACATATTTTATGTGGCTTCTTCCACTCAGCACAATTATTTTGAGTCATTCACGTTGGGTGATGTTTCAGTAACTCATTCCATTTCGTGACTGAATAATGTTCCATTGAATGAAAGTACCACCCACCAGACACGTGAATGTGTTTATCCACCTACCTGCTAATGGACATCAGGGTTTCTAGTTTGGGGCTATGGAATCACTTGAGAGTAGACTGGTAAGTTATGGATATATATTGTAAACCCTGAAGCAACCAGTAAGCAAAACAGAGTTGTAGTTAATAAGCCAACAAAGGAAATTAAATCATAAAAAATTCTGAAAAGAGGGCAACAAAATAAAAAGGCAGCTGAGACATACAAAAAACTAACAGCAGTAGGATAATATTAAACCTAGGCAACCGTATCAGGATTCATTAAATAATATTAAATGACCTCAAAACTTCAGTTAAAATGAAGAGGTTTCAGATTGGATTAAAAAAAAATAAGGTCTAACATATGCTGCCTCTGAGAAATAATAACTTAAATATAAAGACACAAACAGGCTGTAAGAAAAGGTAGAGGGTCTACATATTTAATAATAAAATAGATTTCAGAGGACAGGCAAAAAGAAAAGGTGATAAAGGGGTCAAGTCTTCAGGAAGATGGAACAATTTTAAATGCCTACGCACCTGATAACAGAGCTTCAGAACACACAGGGCAGAAGCAGCAAAGTGGCAAAAAGAAGCAGACAAACCTGTGGTTACCGCCACATGTCTGTGCTCCCTCTGTTGGTAGTTGGTCACAAGCAGAAATCAGAGGTGCGGAGCACCTGATACCATCAGCTAGCACGGCCCTGCTGGACTTGTGCAAAGCACCTCAGCCAGTGACAGCACCAGAGGCCATACTGTCAGGTGCACGTGAGATATTTACACCAAGAGAAATCCTATCCAGGACATAAAGCAAGTCTCAGTAAGTTCCTAAAGGTTTAAGTCCTGCAAAGTATGTTCTCTGACCCCAGTGGAATTTAGTTAGAAGCCAGTCACAGAAGGATCTCTGGAAAATCCCCAAATACATGGAAACTAAATAGCAAGTGGGTTAATAAGGAAATCAAAGAGGGGGTGACAGGACAGTTCTAGGGCTGCTTTTATTCACAAGTAGAGACCTCTCCAAGCCATGACCTTGGCTTCCACCTTAGGATACAAAGGAACAGTAGAGGAAATCATTGTGATCTAAAGTCATTCTCTGAGAAACTTGAGTCAGTGCCCCTCCAGACAGAGCGGTCAGGAGAAGCAGGGGTACAAATTACTGACACCACGAGGAACGAGAACAGTGACCCCACCTCGGTTCCAAAAGCGTAATAAGGGCAGGTTGTGAATAATCCATGCTAGTAAGTCTGACACTGAGATGATCTTTGAAAGACTCAGACTACCAAAGCTCCCCTGTCCCCCGGAAAAGGTAACCGGAATAGTCCTGTATCTATTGAAGTTGAATTTTTAGTTTAAAACTTCCCACATAAACAAAAAACTCTGGGCCCAGCTGTCTTCTCTGGTGAATTCTACCAAACGTTTCAGGAATGATACCAGGTTTATACAAAAGCTTCTAGAAATTTGAAAAGGGAGATCTAGTGCCTGTGTCATTCTCAGAGGCCACATCAGTGTGACCTGACGGCAGAGCTGACATGGCATGACAAGAAATGTGGCTCCATTGTCCTCGTTAATGTGGATGCAGAAACGCCCTTGAGGGTTTTAATAATAAAGGCAACAGTAATACCTCATGACCAAGTAAAGTCTGTTTCAGAAACGGCTAGTTTAACATTTGAAAATCAGTCAGTAAGCATGTGGCTGACCCCAACCTCTATGCCCGGTAAGAGTTCTTAGCAAACTGGAGATGGAATTTCTTCACCTGATTAAAGCTTCTGCAGTAAGCTGGTAGTTGGTAGCGTGGTAAGAAGTGAACAATTGCCCCCTGAGATCAGGAACCAGGCAGAAGATACCTACTCTTCCCACAGCTTTTCGCTAATGTCGCTGGGGCTTCTAGCCGGTGCACTAAGTCAAGAAAAAGAAAAGCCATCTAGATTGGAAAGGAGAGGGTAAAATTATCTTTATTCACAGACAACAGTCACTGTCAGTGTAGAAAAGTTGTTGGAATCTACGAAAAGGCTATTAGAACAATTAAGTAGGTTTGGCATGATCACGCTGTACAAGGTCAGTGTGGTCATACTTCCCCGTCCCGCAGCAGACAGTTGGGACTGACATCACAAGAGTCTTATTCATTGTAGCCTCAGATTATTAAATATGCAAGGGTAACTGACAAGATGTGCAAGACTTGGACCCTGAACATCGCATGACAGCTGAGAGAGATCCAGAATTGGCAAATGTTTGTGATTTGGAGCCCAGTATCGTTCAAATGCCAGTTCTCCCCAGATTGATCTAGACTCAGTGGAGTCTCAAGTACAATGGTAAGAAATGCATAGAGCCAGAGGAGCCAAAACAGCCTTCATAAAGAACAGAGCTGGAGCACTAACAGTACCTGATTTCAGAAGACGGTAACTGCGACAGTGTGGTCACTAGGAGAAGAGATCGGGAAACGGCGTAGAGGATAAATTATTAGCTATAGTGACAACAGACTTTTGACGGAGGTGTAAGAGCAGTTCAGTAGAGAAAGGGTAGTCCCTTGAACAAACAGTTCTGGAACAAGTGAACATCTGCATGCAGAGTAAAGGAACTCAGTCCATACCTCTTACCATGTATACACGTGGACTCAAAGTGGATCTTAAACCTAAATGTGACACATCAGGCTATAAAACTTCTACAGAAGATCCTCGTGACCTTGGGTTGGGGCAAGATTTCTGAGATCGACACCATAAGCACATGCATGAGAGGAAATCTTCATAAGCTAAGTTCGTCAAAATTAAGCCCTTCTGCTGTTGTGACGACACTGGTAAGAGGGAGGGACGGTGCGCAGACTCGGGGATATCTGCAGGTCGCGTGTCTGACACGGGGCTTCCGTGCAGGGCGCACGAAGGGCTCAGAGGGCCCTGTAATAACGACAGCCTGTTTTCTAAACTGCTGAAGGTGGGAAAAGACCCTTCAGGAACGATGTGTGGGTGGCGGGGCGGCACGTGGACAGCAGCTCAGCGTCTCGGCCGCAAGGGCAGTGCCACAGTGAGCTGCCTTTGAGTCCTGTTAGAAGCCACTCACGTGTTGACGCAGAGCCCAGGCACCGGCGGGACAGCCGAGAGCGAGGGTAGGAGGCAGGCTCACGAGGCAGGAATGATCCAGACAAAGCGCATGAGATTTTCTCTTCTTGGATGACCTTCAGAGTTCTCTGGATTTTGCTAGTGACGGATTGGCATCGTTAACTATTTTGGTCTTTTTTTTCCTTTTCCCTTAGCTCGGGGAGCACAGACAGTGAAGAAAGTACAGACTCTGAAGAAGAAGACGGAGCAAAACAAGACTTGTTTGAACCCAGTGGTGCCAGTACGGAGGATAAAATGGAGGTAGACTTGAATGAACGTAAGTTGTCTTCCTTCTGTATTAGTCACTGTGTGTCGAAAACGGGGGTATTTTAAAACTAGGTGCCCTGGTCTGCAGATAGGAGTTAGGTTGAAACGCGGTCCTCTGAGTCCCCTTGGAGGTTTAAGTGTCGGGGACAGGGCCTCAGGGAAAGAGCCGCTTGTCCCTCTGAAGACCGGGTGTCTCCTGAGGTATGGACGCCCTCTGGGTGGTTCCGGCCCGAGGACTGGGAGCTGCAGCCTCTGAGTGCCCAGTAGAAAGGGAGACTGCATAGACTGTGGAAAGGTAAGGGAGGGCTGTGTTTGTGGAGTCAGGAATGACTGTACTGAAGGCGACACCTTAAAGCTGACAACGATTTGAAATGGGTTCTTCAGTTTATTTATGAAGCCCGTAACCCTTAAGCTTGTCTAGCCTGTGTTTATGTCCCTGCTACTTGCTAAGAAGACTTGCGGCAGCTGGCCTTTAAACTACTGTTGAATTCTGGAAGTTCAGATTAATGTACATGTGGGAGGGCCACGTGGATTGCTGTTGGGGCTTTCCTCGGGGCCGATGGGGCCCCTGATCCCCCAGGAAGGCTTCTGGGTACTCGATACTTGAGACTGCACCCCCCCAGCGCCGGGGCCCTAGCGGTAACCAACACCCCCCCATGGTGCAGACCCAGCGAGCGAGGGCCGTGGGGGAAGCGCGGTTCGATCTGTCCTCTCGTTGCTTTCCCAGCACACCATCTTCAGGAGGAAGAAATGGGTTTTTCTGTCTGTAATTCGCTTCGAATCCACACGCCTTCATCATGTTCTGACCGTGTGCAGGCGCGGGACACCCCAGACTTGGTCCCAGAGCTCAGGGTCTCCTGAGGAACAGGGGCGACTGCAGTAGATTCTGGGGAGCTCACCTGGGAAGTTCACTTCCATGAGGCCTGCAGCGTGGTGTGCGATGAGAGCAAGGACACAGGGACCTAATTTCACCCGAGGGGACACCTCTCTGAGGAGGTGATGTTGAACCAGACCTGCGGGTTAGGTACGATCTGCTGGCAGGCAGCGCGGGGAGGATACGGTGAAGGAGGTGAACGTGAGGAGAGAGGCAGGGACACGGTCGGGAAGGGTCCGAAGCGCAGGATCTCTGTCCGCATGGAGTGTGGCAGGCACCCCCCACTGTGCCCCAGCCCCGAGGCTCTAAGCCCCTCCACTCTGAGTTGTTATAGACCCTTCATTAGGTCCCCGTGTTGATTAAATCACTGGCCCTTGGTGATTTGTTCCCCTCCTGGGAGTTGGGGCTGGAAGTTGTAGCCCTCGGACTCCAGGCTGGTGACCCTGGGTCCCAGCCCCACCCTGCGTCTCTCCAGGAGTCCAGGCCTCTGGCCACGTCTTCAGCGCACAAAAAGTCAGATTCCAACGGTTTGGGGGTCCTGTGCCCAGGAAGGCATTTCTTGCCCTTCCTGTGTATGCTGGCTTCAGTGGGCTGCGGAAGCTGTCAGCGGTGCCACGTGGGGCCACACCCGGATTGGGAAGCATCTGAAGTCTCCAGCTGATTAATCAGCCATTAAATAGCCAGCTTGTTGCTTTTTTTATACAACTTTTTGTTTTGGGATGAGTGGATGTACAGCAAAGCTACAGAGATGGAACAGGGAGCGGCTTTGCACCCTTCTCTCTCCATCTTCTCCCAGCATTCGTGTAATCTCGATACATTTGTCACAAGTAAGAAACGAGTGTTTTCTTCTAGGTGTAGATTTGCGTCCTTCTGTGGTTTCTTTTTCCTCTTCCCGTGGTATTTGTTAGTTGTTTGTTTATCGAGAGAAACTATTTCATACCTGGGTGTTCGTGTTTCATAGTCGGGGGACACAGCTCAGGGACGACCTTCCATGGAACTCAACCCAAAGAAGCTCTTCACATTCCAGAAACACTTTGCACTCTGGAAGATACGGGCCACCGTCATCTCCTCAAGATCTTTCATGGGATCAGAATTTCTGTAGAAATCTGCATCTGCCCTCTTTCTTGGGTTGGCCACAGCAAACTTGGCCAGAGGCCTCGCATCTGAGGTTTCGTCTGGGCACCGGAAGTCATGGTAGCTGTTCTCAACTCCAGCCTCAAACCCAGCATCCTTCCTGAGGCAGAGGTGGCCTTGTGTGGTGTTTCTGTGGGGAAAACCAGTCTTAGAAATGAGAAGTCAGGGATTAAAGGAAATCCAGTTTCTCGATCGGATGGATGTTATCATGTCACCCTCCATGTGACCGTGCTATTTCCACTGCTGCCGGTGGTGCATCAGAGCGTCCTGTCCCTGCCACGCTGGTGCTTGTGATTGCAAGTCTGGTTTTTAAAACACATCTTGTATTCTGTTAAACCACTGAGGGTATTCTCAAAGTGAAATTCCTCCCTTCTTTTCAGCACCCAGCTGGTCGGCCAACTTCGATGTCCCCATGGAGACGACCCACGGTGCTCCCTTAGATTCTGTCGGGTCTGATGTCTGGAGCACAGAGGAGCCGATGCCGACCAAGGAGACGGGCTGGGCTTCTTTTTCAGAGTTCACGTCTTCCCTGAGGTGAGTGCTCGGGTGCCAGCCCCTCCCCCTTTCCGCGGGAGGGTTGGGGGTGGCGTGTCAGCTGTGGGCACTGTTTGTGAAGGTGGTGCCTTCCCCGAGATGACAGATCAGTATAGGGGGGACAGCGACAAATTCAAGGAAACCGGCCTCCGGCCTCCTCCCAGGACGAGCCGAGAAAGGCAGTCAGTTGTGCACTCAGCCCAGGAAGGTGCGGCCCCAGGAGGCGACACAGCTGACGGAGATGCTGTCTGCAGGGCGTGTGCGGCCCCACCGCGCATGCGCTCGGGAAACAGGATGGAGAATGGGGACAGGGTGGAGCCGAAGAACTCACAGGTGCCGCTGTACGGAGCGCTGCGGGAAAGTGCAAGACGTATCTTGAAGTGAACGCATAATATGAATTTGTATGTCACCTGTAACTGTAAATCAGGGACGTGAAAGATACGGTTGTCGTTCTTGTTATTGGTAGCTTTCTTACTGACAGCACCTATCACTTCATAGTTTTCCTGAATAATATTGTCAGCATTTGAGTATTAACCGTGGACTTCAGGTCTTATTAGGCTTAGTTTGATTTGCTAAACATTATTTTATTCTGTCTACTGAGAAGAAACCCGACCTTCACCACCCCTTTTCAAAGACTGTTGCTTTCCCTGTTCTAACGAGCAGTGTTAACTGCTCAGTGGTAACAGGCCAGACCGGAGCCCGTGTTACTGTCCTTGGCAGAGCACAGGGCCAGCTCCAGCCTTGCCAGCCGCGGCAGTGCCAGCGGGAAGTTCTTGTTCGGGGGTAGAAGTGAGCTTGGTGGCAAATGTCCCTAAGGCATTGTAAGTTATTTGACTGACTCTGGCCCCAGACCGTCGCGTTTCCACCTCTTGCTTTCTGCCATCTTCCTGTAACTGAAGGCCAAGCGCCCTCAGTTAATCAGAAGATTGTCGAAGGAGCTTGCTCGCCTCTCCCCTTGTGCTCGTCATGTTAGCTCATTATCAATGAGCTACTCAGAGTGAGGGGCTCAGGGTAAGTAGGGATTTTTGTAAAAATGGCACCACAGAAACAGTGATACCACGCAGTGTGAATCCCTGCTGTCCCAGCCCTGGGGCCTGGGGATCATGGGGAGGATGTGGACTGGTGCCCTTCAAACCTTCCCGCACCCCACCCTCCCGAGAAGTCCCTAAGCTGCCATCCCGCTGCTTTTGCGAAGCAGTTACCTGCCCACGCCCGTCGACCTCCAGATAGCGTGCTTCCCTCCGCACATAGATCTCCGTGTCAGCTGAGCCAGTGACCCACTGCCTGTGTCTCACCACTGAAACTGGAAGGGACTTTCAAAGGGTTTTGTGAAGAACAGTAACTGAGAGCTGTTTCCCGCTGCTAATGAGCTGAATTTTCTCTTTTCTAAAAGTACAAAAGATTCTCTAAGGAGTAATTCTCCAGTGGAAATGGAAACCAGCACTGAGCCAATGGACCCTCTGACTCCCAGTGTTGCCGCGCTCGGAGTGCAGCCAGAAGGTGGGTGCGGAGAGCGAGGCTCGAGCCCACGGGCCCGCTGGCTGCTCCTGGGAGGTGGTTCGGGCTTCCACTTGGTGCTCAGTTTTCCAGATCTAGTTTTCCTGTCTGCGTAATAGGTTTGGGCTCAAGGGCTCATAGGAGTCAGGAAATTGGGCTGGTAGCTCTAACGTCCACAGGGCAAGTAATGGAGAGAATCTGCGTTTCCATTTCAGAGCTGAGCTCGTTGATTCTGGAAGGCATAGGGGTCTAAGTTGTCAGTTACTCCGTCCTGCCAACACGCAGACACGGACACAGGCCCAGAAAGGACAAACGAGTTAGCTTGCGGCGACCGGGGTGCCGACCAGAGTTAGTCACGTGTGTTTTCAGGCCCAGCTGGTGCCCAGCTCTTTTGTCACATGGAATTTGCTGGAACCTGTGTGTGTCCAGGCACGTTTCAGGCTGTAAGGCTGTTCATTTTCTTCTCGCCTTTATGAACAGTCAGAATGGTCCAGGGTGTCCAGAATGGTTCAAGCTGCACAACACTGGCCTTGCCGAGGCCCTGAGCTCTTTCCAGCCTGGTGAGCAGGGCTGGGGAGGAGGTTGGTGAGAGGGGGATGTGAGGAATTAGAATGTGGAGGGGAATCGAACAAGGAGTGAGGAGGCGGGGGCCGTGGGAGACAAAGGAACCAAGGGGGGAAGTAATAAAACCAGTAACCAGCGTCTATTTGTCTTTCTTTTAGACAGTTCATATAGGTGACATCGCTTTATCCCTCAGCAGTTTTGCAAGTGGGTTTAGTTACCCTCATTTTACAGATAAGAAAGTCTTGCTCTAGGGGATCTACAGCTAGTAAGTGGAGGCTGAGGCTCGAATTCAGCAAATGTGACCGCAGAGCCCAGGTTCATAACCAACATACCACATAGCTCCCTGTGACAGAATAAGAAGTAATCCACAAGCAGCCATAGGAAAGTCACTTAAGAAAAAAAATGGGACCCAAGGGGACCCAGTTGAAAATAGGACCCAACTGAAAGAATAACAGGACGAATGAGAACAGTGCCCCGAATTCACTGTAACCGCAGGACTTGTGGGTTGAAGTGGGTGAGGCTAGAATGTATCTGGCTGCCTAGTGTGCCGCAGGCTGTGGCCTGGAGCCTCCGTAGAGGGGACGCCGGGGACATCGGTATGTGGGTGGAGGGCAGAGCTGGGAAGGCCAGGGGCCCGCCGGGCCTGTGCTGAAGAGGGCCTGCGGGACGCCTCCCTGGTGGGCATTTTCTAGAAGCCTGTGCCCGTCAGGAACTGGCCGAGGCAGCGGCCAGCAGACCATCTCTTCCTTCTCCAGGCAGTGGCCGGGACGTCGGGTGGCCAGGGCTGCACAGAAGGTGGGGCGTGGTTCTCATTGGTTTTAGTGCGTGTGGCCATCGACTGTGTCATTTGCAGCTCCAGGTAGCATGGCCATGGAGGCCAGCTCTGAAGGAGAGGAGGACGCGGAGAGCACAGACAAGGTAACCGAGACCGTGATGAACGGCGGCATGAAGGAAACGCTCAGCCTCACTGTAGATGCCAAGACGGAAACCGCAGTCTTCAAAAGGTAACCGGGGCTGGAGCGTGTGGCGGCCTCAGGCTGTTGGGAGGCTGGGGGGCTCGGGGGGTCCTCCCATGTTAGCATCTTTCATTGGGTTTATTATTGTGGGTTCAGACATTGGCTGGACCTCTTCCCAGCATCTCTGTTCAGCCCAGTAAATCTAAACGAAGATGTGGAGAGTTTGGGGTCCCTGAGTGCCTTTCTCTCTCTCTGTGTCGTGCTCAGAAGACCATAGATTGTGTCTAGCAGGCCCCAAATACAGTTCAGGAGAAGGACGCCTCTGTAGTCATGCTAGAAACTGGCATGCAGCCAGGCCCCAGCCCGTCAAACCCAGAGGGTCAGCGTCGTGCATGCCACTTTCTCCAGACACTATGTAGCCGCGAGGATTCAGTAGCGAAATGGTAGCTTAGGAAGCATTGTGGGTGTTAACCTCACGTAAGTTCGTGGATCAAAAAAGGAATCATAGTGGAAAATAAAAACAAAACTGAAAGGGTAACAAAAACACTTCTGTCAAAACTCGTGTGTTGTACAGAATCCACGCCTGCAGCTGTGTCTCCCTGCAGCACCTGGCCTTTAGGATCGGGAAGGGCACTTCCCACCCCGTTAGGGGCCACTGCCAAACACACAGCAGGCGTGAGAGGGGAACGCGGATTTCCTCTGAGCGTGCAAGCTCACAAGTTCAAAGTTAGAAGCTAGCGAGGGCTCCTGGGTGGCTCAGTCAATTAAGCATCTGATTTCAGCTCAGGTCCATGAGTTCGAGTCCTGCGTCAGGCTCTGTGCTGCAGCTCGGAGCCTGGAGCGCTTCAGATTCTGTGTCTCCCTCTCTCTACCTCTTCCCCAGACACGTGCTCTGTTTCTGTTTCTCTCTCTCTCTCTCTCTCTCTCTCAAAAATAAATATTAAAAATATATTTTTTAAATAATAGCCTTTTGGAGTGCCTGGGCGCCTCAGTCAGTTGAACATCTGACTCTTGATTTTGGCTCAGGTTCTGATCCTGTGGTCATGGGATCGAGCCCCACATTGGGCTTCATTCATGCTGAGCATGGAGCCTGCTTATGATTCTCTTGGCTCTTTCGCTCTCTCTGCTCCTTTCTCCTGTTGACACTCTCTCTAAAATAAATTTTTAAAAAATCAGTAGCCGTTTTCGGCATCAATAATAAGCAACCAGGACGTGTAAGAAAAGGCATTTATGAGCTACATCAAACTTAAGATAATTCCTGAGTAATTAAACCCACGTAGCTAGAGAGAAAACTGGGAGGGAGCGATAGAAGCAAGCCCAGAAGAAGAGTAGGCAGAGAGGCCACAGTGGAGGTGGCAGCGCTGTGCATGGAGGCAGCAGTCGGGCGTCGGGCGTTGTGGAAAGCGAGGTGGGATTGGGGGTGCGCACCCTGGGGCACACGGGCCTTCCCAGCTGCGCCGAGCACACAGGGTACAACGAGGTGTGCCGCTCACCGCCAGCTCTGTGCCTCAGAGCACACACGTAGGTGGTGACCGTGCATTTACAAGAGTGGAAGTAACGTGTGGTAAGCAAGCACATCCGGGTAGTTGCTTTCATGAGGATGGGGTGGGGGTGGGGATAAAGGAGAGTAAGGAACCAGGCAACTCGGGTAAATCTTTAGGCTTTAGATCAGTTCCCTCCTTATAAATTGCTGAGACCCCTCTGAAAGCCACCGAAAAAAATTTTCCTAAGCAAATGCAGGACAGGACCCGGCTCTAGGAATGATGGCCCTTCCTGGAGGGAACCTCCAGCTGCCCTTTAGGTAACTTCAGTGCCATCTTAACTGTGTCCCCACAGGACATCCTGGGACATGTGTCCCCATGGGAAGTAGGCAGCGGCCTACTTGCGCAGCCCACAGAGTCCCCCCGCGTTTGCTGCTTGTCTTTCCCCGCCAGCCGCCATTGAGGGGCGAGAGAGCCCTGCCAGCACTGCGTCGTCCGAGCCCTCTGGCCCTTCGGAGCGGCCTTCGCCCGTTGTGGCCGCCCTTCCTGCCTCGCTTCCTTCACGGTGCTCCTCGAGGAGCTCCGCCCCACCACAGGCCCCCGGTCCCCTGCTCACGTGACTGGGGCCGCCAGCGGATCGGGGTCTGTCCTGCTGACTGTGTGATGCTGGGCTGGGCCCTGAGAGCAAACTGCCTTAACTAAAGACTCGTTCCTTCAAACAGGTTCATTTGACACCTCCACCGAGTCTGCCGTTCTGCGTACGTGCAGTCGTGGACACACTCCCCCCCCACATTCCTCATTTATAGGAGTATTCTGAAACTCTTGTACATTTCTTTTTCTGTTTTGCACACTTGGCTTCAGAGTGTTGAAATCCTATCGGTATGTAGAGTAATGCGGGCCGTTCTTGATCCGACTTCAGCTGCATTACATCATCCTTCCTCCGGGTCCCCCCCGTGTGTGGTCCTTTTCTGTCGTGATTTCCCAGTCACTGTCTGTGGTCCCTGCGGTCCCTGCCCTGAGCATGCCCAGCCCCAGGGCTGTCCTCCATGGCAGCCACAAATTCAGGCTCATTGCATGTGCCTTCATCCTCCACCCGAGCTGGCGCCCAAGGCCTCTAATGCTGCCTCTCATCCTCTTCTCCGCAGCGAGGAAGGAAAACTGTCTACCTCTCAAGATGCTGCTTGTAAAGATGTGGAGGAGGGCCCTGAGACGGCAGGGGCGAAGTCTGCGGGCCCCCGGCCCCTCAGCGGTAGCCCAGAGCAGAGGTAACTCCCCCTGGCTCAGGTCTGCCCCGGGTCTGCTCTGCCTGTGGCTCTTGTCTCCTGGGAGCTGGGAGGAAGGTCGGCATCTAGGGCTGGGGGTGGAGGAGGGGTCCTTACAGTTGTGCTCGGGCATTCGGTGACAGCCCGGTGGAGTTTTCTCAGGCCACCTCTAGGCAGGGTGCCTGAGTCAGGGTCTTAGGACAGTTCGCCTCCTTGTCCCAAAAGGTGGAAACCTGACTAGTGTTTGGAGATTCAGCAACCTCACTGGCTCTTTAAAAAATCACTGGGAATGGAAAGGTCTCGGATGCTGGCGCACCTTCCCCCTGTACGGCTTTTTTTTTTTTTCTTTTTTTTCTTTTGAGGACATGCCATGTTGAGGCTGGTATTGAGCCCCTCCGGGTTTGGGTCTCTAGGCTGGGCAGCCAAGTTCTCATTGGGTCCCCAGGTCCTAAGCCACCGGCCACAAGCAGCCCCTGGTGCCCCCTTTCCCACAGTCCTGCACATGTGACACACAGGGAGAGCCTGCCTAGAGGCCCTTTTATAAATGCGGCTAAATATTCTTAACCCTTGGATGACTCCCGGTGTGGTTTTGGTTTTGCACAGTGTTTGTCTTGATGAAGGGTGAGAATCCCAGTGGCAGAGCTGAGTGATGTGGAACATGATGTTTTCTTTCTAGTCCCCTTTTGCTTACACTGAGCCAGTGGTCTGAAGGGATAGACCAAGCCAAAGCCTCAGCCACCGGGCGCCCCAGCCCATACACACGGCCTCGCAGGTAGAGCAGGGGCAGCCTCCGAATGCTCCAGAGCTCGCGCCCGAAGAGGAGGACTTACCCTTGGGCCACAAGGAACTTGGCTCAGCACTTCCCAGAGCTGACCGTTTTGGTCCTACGTATCTGGGTTTGTACGTTCCTTCGATAAGGAATAAAGTAACCTTTAAAGCCATTTCAGAGAAGTTGTACTTTCCCCCTCGCCAGACCCCCACTTCCCGAATCTTCATCATTTTTGGGGTAACATAACCAGCCGGGACCAGCAGGGGGCGCTCTCTGTTCACTGGTCGGCAAACCCTGCTTTTTGTTCCTTTACTGGGAATGACCGTCAGAATGAGGGGTTTGCTTTTATTGTTAAAACAAAGCCTTTTGGGCGTGTAAGACAAATTAATCACAAGAGCTGTTTGAGCGCGTTGGCTCTGGTGAGGGCTTTGGAAGGAGGGGCCGAGGGACACCCCAGGCCCGGGCATGCAGGCGTCCAGGCAAGTCACCGTTTTGGCCTGCAATTTTCAGTGGTTTTTTTTTAAAGGTATTTAGTGGGATCTTACTCCCGGTAGTTGCGTCCTCTCCCTAATCCCACCTGCAAATGCCTTCGGGTGGAGAACGGCTCTGAAGGCAGGGTGGCCCAAGTCCGTCCGGGTTTGGAGAAGTCGCTTCTGGAGCCTCCTGTCTTCTCGGACATCAGTGATGCAGGAGGCTCTGCGATCATCTCCCAGGCTCTCTGGAGCGTAGATCATTTGCCTCCGCAGAACCTGCCTAGAAACATCCGGTGTGACGAGCCCTGCCTGCTGGACCGAGGTGGCGGGGGGTGCACCGGGGAGAGCTGGTGGGAGACCCTTGTGTCCGTGCTCTCATCTGTCCGTCCTTCCTCCGTCCGACACATGGGAGCACGGCGGCCACGGGTCTAGGCCTGGGGGTGAAGCAGCAGCGTAACAGACGCCCGGGCGGTGGAGGGCCGTGTAGAACAAGGTGCCGCGGGAGAGAGGGCAGGAGTCCCACTTAATACGGACGGTGGAGGGAGGCTGCCTGCAAGGTGGCATTGAGCTGCCGTGGTGACCGGGAGAAGGTAAGTCTGGCCTGTCACGTCTGTGCCCTGAGAGCGACATGCGGCCGCGTTGGAGGTAGAGCTGTTGGGACTCGCCGTGAGCACCGGTCCCCACACAGCTCCTGTCACGGCTGGGCGTGGTGCTTCCCGAGGCTGACAGGTGCACTGCCGCCGGATTTCATCGTTAACAACAGTTGTGTGCGCCACCCGTGCCGGCCAGCTTTGCACACGTCCCGTCTCACCCACCCCCAGGGCCTTCTTGTCCCCACCCCCCTTCACAGAGGGAGAAGCTGAGCTGAGAGAGTTTGGAAAATGCTCTGGAGACCCTGCCGCCTGTGAGCGGTGACAGTGGGATCTGTGCCAGTGTGTCCCTGAGGCACAGAGTCTCCTCGAATGTGGGCAGGTCGCTTGCGGAGCCGGCTTCTGGTCTGTCACCTGTAGCAGGTGTCTGGAGCCCCGGGCTTGTGAGGTGCAAGCCGGACCCGAAGCACCCGTGTGCACCCAGCACCCTTTTCCGGAAACACTGCACGTGGGGCTGTCGTTTTAGCAGGAACGGGAGTTTGTATGTCCGCCACCACGTTGTCTGTCTAGCCTTCCCTCCTCGGTGCACCCACCTCAGCCCTAACGCTTGTCTGGCGGAAGCACATCAGTGAAAATGCACACCTGTTTTCCAGGGCTGCCTGTGTCCATGCTCCTTTCCCCTCTTTTGGTAGAAGAATCCTGTTCTTTGAGTGAAATTTTATGTGGATTCTAATACATTGATCAAAAAGTTGTTTGGAAGGAGGAATGAGCAAGTGGTTCACGACGGGTCTGGAACCATGGTCCAAAAGCCACTGCGCTAAGTCGCACGTGCACTCCTGGAAGGCTGCGGCACGATGGCTTCGTGGAGCCCTGCTCCACCATGACCCTTGCTCAGTGCCCACTGTCCACACACAGGGGACACGTTGAAGCCACTCAGATTCCCAGGAGGTTTGGAGAAACAAATCTGTGAAGCAGTCCATTAAGGATTCCATGAAGGAACCCCCCATCCCCAGGGCCAGGCCTCGTGCTAATGTTGAACGTTCCCGCCCCCAGGGAGCTGGACAAGGTGTCTCACACACCATCTTCCGTGCCTGCGTTGAGTGCCTCAGATGTCTGTCTCTTCCCCGTAGGACTGACCAGCCGAGCACGCCCGGCGACACGTCCGTCAATGGCCCCGTATGATGAGGGGCCTCCGCTGCTGAGGGCCGCAGACCGCCACCGTTGGGGCCGCCGGAGTCTTCACCGGGAGCCCGCCCCGCCGCCACTGCTGCACTCGCTCTGCAAGGGATCAGGACCAGCAACCTTTCTATTCTAGATTCTAAGACGCTGTACAGAGAAATCCAGAAGTGTAAAAATATTGCACATTGACAAATACCAAGAATTTTTGCGTATGTTTATATTGTATTGTTCTAAATGATGGGTAGCCTGTGAAATACGATCTTGCCACCCATGTAATAATAGTAGTCATACTATAGTTAAAATGGCTGTAAGAATAGTTTTATAAAAGTGAATACACAGATCTATTGTATTTGAAACATAACTATTTGACAATTATTAGTGTGACCAAAGTATTAGGCCGTTTTCATACATTTTTCACCTTGTACAAAAATTCTGAATTCATTTCCCTTCCAGGCTGGCGAGGAGTCGTAGGGCTGAAAACGCCCCTTAAGTGTTATTTTGGTTGTTCTGACTTACAAAACGTGATTTTGGAGAAGAAATATTTGGTGTTCTTTTTATAACCAGCTTTTGATTGGTAACTGTTTTCTGTATTGTTTTAAACGGATCAAAAAATGTAAGTCTATTGGTAGAGATTGAGTATTTATTGCTACAACTTAGCTGATAAATTGATGTTATTGTAAAGCCATATGTTCTGTTAAAGTCTCGTTTGCTTGAAATGGTTATTCCTACAAGTGAGACACTAGACTGTGTGGAGTGTACATGGCTTGTGGTTTGAGTTGCTTCGTTTTTCGTTTTCGTTTCTGTTTTTTGTTCTGTTTCAGTAGTTCCTCTGCCTTTTAACCCATTCACCAAAATTTACCTTGTTAACAAGCATCACCAGTGAACATTTCCGAGCAGTTTGCGTGTTTGGCGGACCTGCGAGGCGGGTCAGCTGGAGAGCGCTCATGCCGCAGGCTGGTGTTATAAACCCGGAATCAAAACCCGGCCCCTAAGCATGGTGATTGTTTTCCTGTACCTTGTGAGGTTTTCCACTCGTAAATTCTAAACCAGTGTATTTTTTTTTTTTTAGAACTGGTTTGTGTATATATATAGTGATTATGGATACTAATTCAATGTAATTTATAATTTTCTATGTCAATATAAAAATACATCACAGCCTTCTCAAACAGCTGAAGCAATATATTGTATATTGCCATATCGTCTGGGGAAAGGGTTCAATTACTTCACCTCTTGCACTTTTAGACGCAGATCAGTTTTTCATTTCTGTAATAGAAAATTATTCACGTATTTTTACATCATTTGTTTTTCCTGACCAGTATTTAAAACCAAAAGGATATTCTGAATAATGGCCAACGATTTTTTTAGAACTAGCATCCCAAGCAGCGTGCCTAAACATTACATTGCAAATGGAAATAAAAAAAAAATCAAATGTTGAATGCCTTATTTCTTATTTACTTTTCCATTGTAAACGGTGTGGAAACTCGAGGTGAGTCTCACCAAGGCGGGCCCGGTGCGCCGGGGACGGTCGGCGGGGGTGCCGCCCCTGGCCTTGGCGCACCTCCTCAGGAACCCTGTCCGCGGTGAGCTCCTCCCTGAAGAGACTGTGCTCGTGCCCCCGCCTCCGGAAGCCAGCGCCGCCAGAGGACAGGCTCCTTCCATTCGGCCCGAGGATGCGGACTTCCAGGCCGGCCAGCTGCCGCCAGGGCCCGGCTCCAGGGCGCCGCGGTTCGGAGCCGGTTGGCTTCTCCATCCCACCCCAGGTAACGCAGCGTCTCATTTCATCCCACCTCCTGCTGACGAGAGAACCCTCGAGGTTTGCCTCTGGAGTAGCATTTTGTTTAGCTTGACCAGCGTGGCAGGGAGAAGACACGAGGGTAGAAGGGAGCGAGCGCCTTGGGGGCGGCGGCCGCGGGCCAGGAGCGAGCACGCTCTCAGTGCCTAACTTCTGTGTAAGGGCCACACCGAGTTGTGAGACTAACAAATGTCTACAGTGCAGTACCTGTATCAGAGATAACTGCGACAAAAATAAAGCCTGATTCTTCGTTTCTAGAAATCTCCTCTTGTGCCTCGCTTGGGCTTTCATAAGCAGACAAGGTGTGTAACAGGGCGCCCTGACCTAAGCTCGGAGGGAAGAGTGTGCCATCCCTAGGGCACCCCAACCCGGCCACCGGTGGCGCTCCGGGGCCCAGGAAGAACTGCAGACAGGGAACCGCCGCGCACCCTTGTCGCTAGGTGGCTTACTGGTTCTGCAGCGCCTCCCCATCTCCATGCTTCTCCGGCCTGTATTTTTGGCCTCCATCCCTTCCAGTGACTCTGGGGGTAAAATTCTCGGGCTCCATCGGGAAGCTTAAATCATGAGGTTAAAATCCAGCCTCTTGTTTTTCATTCACCTTCCACCTGTTTGCATAAGCAGGTGCGGCCATTCCTGGAGCCAGTCGCCAAGGCCGTCTGCCGGGCCGCGCATGTGCCTCCACACCCGCTGGAGCCTGCGGGGCGACCAAGGACACCGGCCCTGGCGCTTGTGGTCACCACCCACCTCACCCTCTCATGATGGCTGACTGCTCCCCCGCTTTCCCCGCCAGGTGGAACGTGATAGTTAACATGTTTTCAGGCTTAAAAGTAGATAGAATAGTTCTTGCCTTGAGGTGAGTGTTTAATAATCGTTAGTGTCACTCCGCGGCCCCATAATGTCACAGGCTAACCTTTCTAAATCCTGCCTTTGAGCCTGCGTTATTTAAAACCTGTGCCTCATAAAAACCGAGGCACTCCAATCAGATGGATTGAATGAGTTCTCTGCTTCAGGGCGGGCTACAGCCCAGCGCTGGCTACAACCCCATCCCGGCTACGGCCCCGCCCCGGCTACAGCCCAACGCCAGCTACAGCCCAGAGATGGCTACGGCCCCTCCCCCCGGCTGCGGCCCCGCCCCCCGCTGCGGCCCCGCCTTCCCCTGCGGCCCCGCCTCCCGCCGCAGCCCCGCCCCTGGCTGCGGCCCCGCCTCCCGCCGCGGCCCCGCCCCCCCTGCAGCCCGGCGCCGCGGTGACGCTCCCGGAGCACTGTTGTGGCCGCCTGTGCCCTGACGGGGAGAGGAGGGGTTCTGCCGCCTCACTCGTGGCACAACTGTGTCCGCTCTGCGCTCCGAGGCCGCGCCCCCGTCTGGATCCCGCTCCCGTGCACGCGCACGCGGCTTCTGGGGGTTCATTCTCAGCAGTCAGCGTGCGCCCTTTGCCCTCGCCGCCTCTGACCGTTACCGGTTGCCTAAAACACGGGTGCCACGGCGCGGCTTTTGAAGCGATCACCCCAGATCGGTCCTGCATGCTTTCCAGGCGAGGACGGGGGCGCCTGGGTGGCCGACTTGAGCTCGCGTCTCGGTCTCACCGCCCTGGGTTCGAGCCCGCATGGTGCTTTCTGCTGTCGGCGCCGAGCGGGCTGCGGAGCCTGTCTCCGCCCACACGCTCTCTCTCTCTCTCAAAATACATAAACATTTAAAGGTAAGTAAATTAGAATAGAGGCAAGGACCGCTGCGGCTGCGGCATTCCGCAGTGAAGCCCCGGGCGCGGCCCGGCTTGGGCCGTCGGTTCTGTCTCGGCCTGTCCGCTATCGCCACTACCGCTCTACACACCCTTCAGGGCCCGGAGGGGACCTGAGGTTTCTGAGGGCGCCCAGCTAGCAGGGGGCAGAGTTGTGGAGATTAAGTGTAACACATAAACACAGGACAGCAATGCTGCGCGTAAATGTCCACCTAATGTTCACTGTAAGGTCCTTCCAGGGGCGCCTGGGCGGCTCAGTCAGTGAAAGCCTCCGACTCTTGACTGCGGCTCAGGTCAGGATCTCACAGTTTGTGAGTTCGAGCCCCGGGTCAAGCTTCTGTGCTGACCACGTGGAGCCTGCTTGGCATTCTCTCTCTCCTCTGCCCCTCCCCTGCTCGTTGCTCTAAATAGATAGATGATAGATAGATAGATAGATAGAACTTTAAAAGTTATTAAAAAATAAAAGACACTCGTGGTCAAAACCTTTTGATTATTTTTTTCTTAGAATTTGACAGTTTGATTTCAAAGTAGCCGCAGTGAATGGAGACGAGCTGCATGGAAGGTTTGGTAGCCGGTAGAGCGATAGAAGTGTCAACCGCTGCAGCAGTAGACAGACTGAGGAATCACGCCCAGACCAGTGCTGAGGCAGAGCCGTGTGTGTGTGTGTGTGTGTGTGTGTGAGCAGTGTGTCCGCTTACAGGAGTAGAGACTTGCCGGTGACTTCTGGGACCGCCCCCCCTTGCTACTGGACCTGACCTTCGATTAGCAGTTCCCATGATCTGCTGAGTTGAGGCGGTACGAGAGATCACAGGGCCTGCCAACCCCTAGATGTTGACTGTTGACCTTTATAGAGATAGACTGCCAGCCCCCCGGGATGGATCAAGGCGATGGAATCGAATCCACCAATAGACCCACCAGCGCACCGTCCGTGGTTTTCAACAGTGTTGCCGAGGCCGTGGCGTGTGGACAGGAAAGTCTTTCCACCCAATGGCCAACAACTGGGTGTTTGGGGAAAAAAGAACCTCGATCCTATTGAACACTTTATCCAGAAATCACTCCAAAGTAGGTCACAGGTCTAAACAGAACCACTTAAGCTACTAAAAGAAAACAGAAATATGTAAACCACTTTGGAATGGGCAAAGTTTTCTTAGGACACAGAGCACAAATCACAGACGAAAATGCAGTGGACGTTCACCACAGTGAACATCTTCTGCTCTTCAAAATGAGCAGCTGGGCCCCGGACTGCCAAGAAGAAAAAAAATCTCCACGTGCCCTGACAGGCCTCCTACCCTGAAGCTAGAAAGATGCAAATCAAAAATAAGATGGAAAACCCAGTTTAACAAATGGGCAGGAGAACTGAACACATCATCCCAAAGAAGGTACACAGGTGGCCAAGAAGAGCATGAAAAGTTGTTCAATGTCCGCATAGACTCCACGTGGTTCCAGGAGCCCAGAGGCCACGTCCTCGAGCATGGCCAGGAACGCACCGGCTGAGAGGGCCCTCTCTGCAGGCCGCCATTACAGAACGCGGCTCAACGGTCACAGTGAGATGGGCCCCAAAGCGACGGAGGCCAGGTGGTAGCGCGTAACCACCAGAAGTCAGGGAATAGCAGTTACCACGGCCGAGCGGGTCAAGGGGTGGCCTTGAAAGACAACGGCAAAGGGACTCTTCCCAACGGATGGAGCTGCGTGTGGTGCGCCTGCTCGTTTACTTTGTGTGGAAGAAGCGGCCCGAGGTTAGACTATTCGCAGATCCATGGTCAGTGCCAAAGGGCCTGGCTGGCTGGTCTAGGACCTAGAAGAAGGAGGGCTGAGTGACCAGAGAGGAGAAGGTGTGGACTGGAGACATGCGCCGGGCGTCGGGCAGTGGACACAAAGCGTGAGGCTCTCTGGATCACACAGTCCTGCCCAGCACCTCCACCGGAAGAGGCACTGAACAACCAAGCAGACAAAATAACTCAGCCAGTTGGCGTTAGCCTTCGTTGGCAGCCACACCAATACCAAAATGACGGGCAGGGGAATGAAGTGGCCACAGCAGCAGACGGAGGACAGGCATGGACCCAACAGTGTGGCTTCCTGCTTTCCACGGTGGACTAGCTACTTGTCCATCTGAATGTTCAATCCACCAACAGCAGGAGACCGCCACTGAGCCACAAATGTGGCACTATTCCTCAAGGAGACCAACCAGCCACTCCGTGGCAAGCTGACAGCATTGGAAGGGCCAGTGGTTCGCACAAGGGTAGATGCTTCTTCCGGGCGTGGGCTCGGCCTTCCTCGCTCCATTGACATTCCTGGCTCCAGAACCTCAGCCAGAGCCACTCTCCAAGGACTTGCGGAATGTCCGAGCTGGAGGCGTGTGTTCTCACAACACAGCTCCTGACCAAGGAACCCGCTTTACAGTGAAGGAGACGTGGGAATGAGCCGGGCCCCTGCATCGGGCTCTGCGCTGGCTGACAGCGTGGAGCCAGCTTGGGATTCTCTCTCCCTCTCTCTGCCCCTCCCCTGCCCACGCTCTGTCTCTCTCTCAAAATAAAGAAATAAACTTAAAAAAAAAATACATGCAGTGATTATCTGGTTGTGTGGGGGGTGGGGGGCAGGCCCACCGGAATACGCACTGGAGGTGATACACCACATTAGTAGAACCAAGGATAAAAATCACATGATCAGAGATGCAGAAAGAGCATTTGACAAAATTCTGCATTTTTCATGATAAAAACTGAAAGTACATTGGGCATAGAAGAAGTGTACCCCAACATAATAAGGGCCATATATGACAAGACTGTTTTTATTTCCCTCAGGTAAGCACCCAGAAGTGGGATCACTGGATCATATGGTAGTTTTATTTTCAAATTTTTGAGAAACCCCCATGCTATTTATTGGCTGCCCCAATTTACATCTCTGTGAAAGTGCATGATGCTTCCCCTCTTTCCACACGCTCGGCCACACTCTATCGCTTGTCTATTTGCTAATGGCCGTTCTGACTGGTGAGAGATGGCATCTCACTGCGGACTCGACTTGCATTTCCCTGATGAGTAGGGTTGTTGAGCACTTTCTCATGTCCTTCCTGGCCATTTGGATGTCTCTGGGAAAATTTCTCTTCAGGTCCTTTGCCTACTTTCTAAGTGTGTTTTCTTGTTCATTTTGCTCCTGAGTTTATGAGTTCCTTATACGTGCCGGACAATAACCCCTTATCATATTGGTTTGCAAGTATTTTCTCCCACTCGTCAGCTGTCTTTCCATTTTGTCGATTGTTTGTTTTGCTGTGCACAAGCTTTTGAGTCTGATGTAGCCCCAGCTGTTTATTTTTGTTTTTGTTGTTTATGCTTCTGGTATCATATTAAAAACTTATCGCTAAAACCCAAAGCCATCTACAAATTCAATGCAATCCCAATCAAAATTGCACCAGCATTCTTCTCAAAACTAGAACAAACTGTCCTAAAATTTGTATGGAACCACAAAAGACCCCAAATAGACAAAGTAATATTGAAGAAGAAATCCAAAACAGGAGGCATCACCATCCC